AAATCTGCCGGTGTGTGTAGTTTCGTTATGTCTGTCTGTCTGTCCGAGGTTTTCCTTGGAACCTATTGGCACTAGAGAGCTGTAATTATGTGGAGGTACCTATGTAAGTATATTAATCACGCCGACAAAACGGTAAAATAAAATTTTGAAAAAAACATTTTTTTAGTGTAGCTCCCCTACATGTAAAGTGTGTGGGGTATCGTTTAGGTCTTTTAAAATGGCTTAGGGGTTTCTGACTATTTTTCCATTTAGGGATCTGTTTGCAAATTATTACAGTTTAAAAGTGCCAATTTTTTTTCGAGTAAGGCGTCAATAAAATGACGTGCCTTTTTGTAAACTACTTAAAAAGCCCTTTATTTTGATACCCCACTCGATAAGTTTTAGAGAAAAAAAATTTTTTAAGACATTATGGCACCTAAAATCCGCCATTTTGATTTTTTTCCAACTTTAATATAGCCAGTGTCACTCTCACGATTACGGCGAATCTAACGACACCACTCACGCTAAAATCGGTCAAGCCGTTTAGGCTGTAGGCCGTTCCAAAGAAATATACATACATACATACATACCCACATACATACATACACTCAATTACACTCGAAAAACATAATGCTCCTCCTGGCGCAGTCGGGTAAAAAATGTGGAAAAATTCTTGATAATAGTGATTTTTATGAACTTTCAAGGAAAACAATAACGGTTAAAGATAGATCAGTTAGTTTAAGAGTAATAGTCGTTTAACTCATGTATTATAACATTTCTTACCTAATAAAAATTAATTAGAATAAAATACTAAAAGTGACTTTAGATGAAGAAATTGCTAGCTTCTGAAATATATTGTGGTAACGACGGACAACTACGGAATCCTACACTGCGCGTGGCACGACAATTACTTGGCCAATTTTTGGAGTCGGTTTTAATTTTTATAATAAAACTAGCTGACCCGGCGAACTTCGTACCGCCTTAGCGTAGAGATTTTCTTAATATTTTTTTCCGTAAGAACCATCCTTGGACTTCCACAAACATTTAAAAAAAAGAATTATCGAAATCGGTTCAGCCGTTCACACGTGATGCCGTGACAACGCGAAACGGGTTTCATTTTTATATATATAGATAGATTATTTTTTGTGTAGGTAATAGGTAAAACTATGATTCCTGTCAGTAGCAATTAAAAGTCAATATGTAACTTGGTTATTGTTTATTCCTCTTCTCAAATACCTAAAATATTTTTAAAGATATACCTATTTAATCTATATTTTTAGGACATACGAACATACAAAATGCGAGTTCATTTCTTTTAAATTCAAGTTAAAATAGGTATCATGCTTATCTGCAGCATTGCCTGAGGTATAGGAGCAGCACTGGAGAAGATGACATTGACATGAAGTGACAGAGCATACAGATCTGAAGTCTAGCTGACGTTTGACCATGATAAACAGTAAACACACAGCAAGCACAGGAGGGTGTGCTGTTCCAATAACTCGGGTAATGACTCAATTATGCACTATAATGTGTAATTATGATTTAATTTAATTTAACATCTATGAGCACTTAACTAATATCCTACACATCGTTACAAGAATGTAACATTGATCAGATAACAAAACCAAACTTGGCCACTGTGCTAACGTTCATACATTTTGACGATATCCAACAGTAGGATGTACGGCTGTTATCTCCGGTTGTTGCCCCGCTGGTGTCCACGGCCCCGCACGTAGGTCTTGTGCGCGTGCTTGGCGCCGTGGTCCGGGCCGGGCGGCGCGAAGCGGTCGCCCTTGGCGGAGTGCGGCGCGGCGGGCGGCGCGGGCGCGGCCTGAGGGTGCGCGCGGGGCGCGTGCGAGCCGTTGGCGCGGTCGGCGGGCGGCGCGGGCGCGGGCGGCGCGGGCTGCGGCTCGCTCATGTTGAGCTGCTCGTTGAACAGCATGCAGAACTCGCCCACCTTCTGGATGTCGCCCGACTTGCCCGAGTAGAGCGTGAGCGCGGCGCGCCACAGCGACGCGTAGCCGCGCGTGAGCCGCACGATGTCGCCGGGCTGCAGCAGCGCGCCCGGCTCGTCCCACACGGACAGGTTCACGGCGGCGGACGCGTCGGCCACGCGCAGCGTGCGCACCTCTCGCGCCTCCTTCGTCAGCGTCGGCGGACCCACCTCCAGGACGATGAACACAGCGTTGATGTTCTTCATACCCGGTTTTAGATCTTTGATTTGAACGTACTCTAAATTACTCATGTTGTGTAAGAACAAATATACTGTTTTAACATGTAAATTTAAAATATTAGAGTAATTTTAGGATTTCATTTTGTAGTTTTACAACTACGTTTACAAAGCCGAAACGTCAAAAAAAAGCTGTATATTTTGACAATCAGCTGATATGTCAACATTTGTCAACGTTTGTCTATGGTTCAATTAGGAACATAAGGGTCATAGCACACTTATCAATTTGCAAAGGGATCGTATTAATGCATAGAGGTCTCTATGTATTAATACCTCGTCCAGAGCCCCGATTACGGTAACTTTTAACGTCTACAATCCAGACGCGTTTCTGATTCTGCGATACGATTGGTCAAAACAGCTGACGTACGCTGTTGAACGACCAATCGTATCGCAGAATCGAGAAGCGTGTCTGGATTGTTGACGTTAAAAATTACCGTAATCGGGGCTCAGCCCCCCTAGACAAAACGCACTTTTAGATCGATCCCGTCTGGGTTTTCACACAGAGCACGTAATAGGGTTTTCAACCGGTGTTTCGCCACACAATCAACAAAAATATGTCAGCATTCAACTAATGTTACAAGCCTACAAAAAATGTTAAATGTTGAGATGTTTTTGTTGATTGTTTAGGGCCAAACAAAAAACACACTGGAGAGCCGGCATACCGCATAACGCAATCTTTTTATAAACAACCCACCAAGACGAAACTTGCTCTGATAAAGGAATAGAACTTGTCAAGTAGTATGTGTTCACATTGGTTCACATTGATTGTCATTCAACATCTCGATTTCAGAAAATATTTTTAAAGTTATTTCAATATGATAAAATACAGCAAATAAAAACCTAAGTACAAAAAATTGCACAGTAAATTGCTGTTTCTTAATTATTTCTTAATAAAATATCATCATTAATGTTTTTTAATCAAATGTGCAAATCACATGAACCCTTAATGAAATAAAAACTACTGTGTAAAAAAAAGTAAATAACATAACCTCAAAACTGACCAAAATATTTAAACAGTCAACAAATAGCACAAACTAAAACGCTAAAACCAAACGGATTTGCAGTTAAACTTAATTTCTGTGTGATATTATTATGTATGACCGATAAAATTAGCCAGAATCCACCTAATTTCTGATTCTAACATACCTGTTTAATTTCGTGCCGTGCGAAAGTGCAGCAACTGAGTTTAATACAAGTGCCAGTATTTCTGTGAACATTTAGTAAGTGAACATGTTCAACCAACTGGGCACCACGACCAACAACCCCAACAAGGACCTGGAAGTGACGTCGCCGCCCGACGACACGGTGTCGGCGCTGGAGTTCTCGCCGCCGTCCGTGCCGCAGACCTTCCTCATCGCGGGCAGCTGGGACTGCCGGGTGAGTGCTGAGCATACTGCCTATATCTACATTCCGTGTTATTTATTACTGCAACTGATTTCCTAGATCACGAGTCTCATTTGGGTTTCTCTTTGCCTGCCCCTACTTCTACAGCTTTTTTGAGAGATACAAAGAAAACAAACAATACAATACAAAGATAAAGTTTATTATTCAGCAAGAAAAGGTAATACAATAAGATAGTTGTTAAAATAGATACAGCACAGCTTATCTCACCAGCGAAGCTAGTGTGTGATATGGCAATCATAAGTTGTTTTCATTAAAATTATTGTGCTTTGTATGGTCATATCACTTGATGGTATGTAAAAACACAATACTTTATAATATTTTAAACTATTATGTTGCATTTTTACTATAATTTATCACTTCACGGGATTTATTGCAACAATATTTTTTTTAACGGTAAATAAGATATTTACCCTCCCTACATTTTGGCTCGGTTGCACGATTCATGGTCGCGGGCAGACTGAAGAGATACCGTTAAAAAAGATATTGTTGCAATAAATCCCGTGAAGTGATAATTTAAACACAATACTTTGTTATCCACTTTGGGCAACAAGAAGTTAATTTTTACATCGTTTCAGCCAAATAATTTTTACATAGTCATTCCCAACTCTACCCTCTGACCCATGTTTGTCATAAAATATGATCAATAATGTAGTTATTCTCATTTCAGGCAAGATGCTGGGAAGTGGAGGCATCAGGCAAGACTGTGCCAAAGGCAGCACAAGGCATGGACGGACCAATACTGGATATAGCATGGCATGATGTTAGTATCCGATGTCTTCAAAAGATGTTGTATTTTTTGTAGGTACTTACTGAATTCAATTCAATTTGAGTTAAAAAATTCTGGCAGGAAACTTAAGAAAAATTTGGTTATTAAAACATTATCTTTTAGTGACTCATTTTACATCGTAGTCTGAATGATGCACTACATGTTGTAAATATTGCAGGATGGCTCAAAGGTGTTTATGGCCTCCACAGACAAAACTGTGAAATGCTGGGATCTAGCTGCAAATCAAACAATGCAGGTAAGGCATACTTTTTAAAGCTTGTTTACCATAATACACATACCTACTTGTGCCTATTTTTTTACTGGTTATACTATAGATAACATTTCATTAAACACAAATATCTCTCTTCTCGCCAGGTGGCAGCACATGACGCACCAGTGAAGACGTGCCATTGGGTCAAGGCGCCCAACTATACCTGTCTCATGACAGCCTCTTGGGATAAAACACTCAAGGTTAACCTACTATTTTTTTTTACTTTTATAACATTTTTGTTAGGGTCCTGAACCTATTCTAGCCCATTCTTACAATTAATTATGTTCAGATATCTTTAAATGATTTATGTTTTGTATTTACAGTTCTGGGATACCCGAAGTTCAGTTCCTATGATGACTATGAATTTGTCAGAACGTTGCTATTGTGCTGATGTTGTAAGTACTTATATCTATATGAAATGTATAGAAATACCTACTTGGTGAAGGTGAAAATTTTAACTAAATTACACTACACAAACAGAAATAAGCCATTAAGTTTATTTATACCTCAAAATTTGGCATTCTTTTTCTTTGGTTAGATTAAATATATACAGGGTGACAGGTAAAGCGATACATTCCTTCAAAGGGGTTAAAGTAGAGCTTATTTGCAGTCATTTAAGTCATATGACACCATGTCCGAAACTTGTTCATTTCCAAGTTATTCAAGATTTTAGTATTTTTAAAAAAATCTTCAGTTTTTATGTTAAAATGTACCCTTGTAATGAAGAATACGAAATAATGTTAACTTTTTTGTTGTATTCGTATAGCTAAATAACAAGATTGACATTTTAAATTAAAATTTGCAAGAAAGAATCGTCATTACTCAAGTAAAAGCTAAAAAACCATGTATTATTTTGCAAAAAAAAATTGTTTTAGGTAATTAAACGAAGAATTTCCAAGAAAAAATGTATGGAATGTTGTGTACAAATTACAGAATTTAGTTCCTTGATTCATTAGCTATTCAAAAAGATACAGGTGTTTAACAAACACTACTTAATTATTTTTTTATTTGAATTTAAACGTCTAGCGAGATACTTTCATTAAAAAATAAATAAATAAAAAAGTCACACTAACAACTGTTCTTGGGTCTAAATAAATGAAAAACTTAGTATTTTAATAATAATTGTATCACCTAATTTTATCTAGGTACATTATTTTAAGTCCTGCTCAAACTGTGAGCCCCGTCTTCTAATACAAGCTCGTAGTCTGTTTCTCACTTTTGTTTTTGTGACTCTTGTTGTCNATTATTATTAAAATACTAAGTTTTTCATTTATTTAGACCCAAGAATAGTTGTTAGTGTGATTTTTTTATTTATTTATTTTTTATGAAAGTATCTTACTAGACGTTTAAATTCAAATAAAAAAATAATTATGTAGTGTTTGTTAAACACCTGTACCTTTTTGAATAGCTAATGAATTAAGGAACTAAATTCTGTAATTTGTACACAACATTCCATACATTTTTTCTTGGAAATTCTTCGTTTAATTACCTAAAACAATTTTTTTTTTGCAAAATAATACATGGTTTTTTAGCTTTTACTTGAGTAATGACGATTCTTTCTTGCAAATTTTAATTTAAAATGTCAATCTTGTTATTTAGCTATACGAATACAACAAAAAAATTAACATTATTTCGTATTCTTCATTACAAGGGTACATTTTAACATAAAAACTGGAGATTTTTTTAAAAATACTAAAATCTTGAATAACTTGGAAATGAACAAGTTTCGGACATGGTGTCATATGACTTAAATGACTGCAAATAAGCTCTACTTTAACCCCTTTCAAGGAATGTATCGCTTTACCTGTCACCCTGTATAGAATATAAATAGGGTAAATGTGTTAACTAGGGTATTGTTTTGCGCCAGGACTACCCGATGGCGGTGGTGGGCACGGCCGACCGCGGCATCTGCCTGTACACGCTGGAGGGCAAGCCGGCCGAGTTCAAGCGCGTGGAGTCGCCGCTCAAGCACCAGCACCGCTGCATCGCCATCTTCCGCGACAAGAAGACCAAGCAGCCCACCGGCTTCGCGCTGGGCAGCGTGGAGGGCCGCGTGGCCATCCAGTACGTCAACCCCACCAACCCCAAGGAGAACTTCACCTTCAAGTGCCACCGGTCCACCGGCACCACCGGCGGCTATCAGGTGAGTGACACTCATTTTCTCGTAAATAGCACTCAGAAACTCGAACCTCTCGCTGTGACTAAAAAGTAGGTATGAATATTCTGGTAAACTACCGGAAATCATTGTGGAAGGTCTATGTTCAGCAGTGGATGTCCGGTGGAAATGATGATGATTCATGCGAGTACCATCTATAGCCATACCATCTATATTTCGAACTCCTCCTATGTTCTTCTGATTAATTTCATTGCGGGTCCAATGACAGTTTAACTTTCCCCCGGGATAAACTTGACCTTCATTGGTTGGGTTTTTGTGGCGGTCAAGCTGTAGATCCTGGCTACACAGGAGTTGCAGTGGTGGAAACGAGAGGTGGGAATAGTCCAGAGTACCATCTATAGGTATTACAGAATTTTATTTTAGATACTAGAGCGGTCGCCCGCGACCTCGTACGCGTGGATCCCGTTTTACCCCCTTCATCTATCTTACGCGGTTTAGATTTTTTCATACAAATGTTTTTTCCCGCTAACTCTCGTTCCCGTGGGAATTTTGCAATATCCTGTTGTAACTAAGCTTTAAGTTTACTAAGGTACCTGCATGCCAAATTTCAAGCGTCTAACTTAAGCGGTTTAGATTTTTCATACAAAAAGTTTTTCCCGCTAATTCCCGTTCCCGTGGGGATTCCTAAGTATACTATAATCTGCCCAGGAGTATGACGAATAATTGTACCAAGTTTCGTTAAAATCCGTCGAGTAGTTTTTGTTTCTATAAGGAACATACAGACAGACAAAGAAAATTTTTACTGATTGCATTTTTGGCATCAGTATCGATCACTAATCACCCCCTGATAGTTATTTTGAAAATATATTTCATGTACAGAATTGACCTCTACAGATTTATTATAAGTATAGATTAGTACATAACACAGTCAGGTCTGCCAGTGTTCCCTTTGGCTTGCGCAGGACATCTACGCCGTGAACGACATCGCGTTCCACCCGGCGCACGGCACGCTGGCCACGGTGGGCTCGGACGGCTCGTTCTCGTTCTGGGACAAGGACGCGCGCACCAAGCTCAAGCCGTCGGAGCCGCTGGACCAGCCGCTCACCAAGTGCGCCTTCAACCACAACGGACAGATCTTCGCCTACGCCGTCGGCTACGACTGGTCCAAGGTGAGAGGGGACTTGTATCGCATTCAAACTGATTTCAAATTCTTCCTTTTAAAAGTTGCCATTTTTCATGGCTTACAGCAATATTTTATTGATTGTTCTGGCTTCACAATTATTCACTTTTTAGTCATAAACATCATTCTCATCATTTTTAATTTTTTTTTTTTCGTTTAGTAAAGCGATTTCGAAGTTAATCCTGTTTAGTTCTTTATTTCAGTGAAACCTACTAAATCTATGTATGACCACTTATGTACCTGGAATTATGCAAACAAAGAAATTTGATTTGATTTGGCTGGAAAAGATTAAATATTTAATTAATTAGTACATATGACAAACAATTAACTAAGCTCTCACTTTTCTTAAATTACAAATATTTTATAGATTAAAAAACAGAAAGAAGTGTTAACCCTTTGACAGGCATAACACTTTCGAGCAATTATGAGTAAAAGTATAATGGGAATTGTATTTCCACTGCCTTATAAACGATTATGGAGTATAATTTATAAATTGGAAGTTAGTATTAAACATTTTATTTCTTTTCAGTAGACCGAAAAATGCAGTTTGTATTTTTTTTTTCATATTAATATGCGTAGAATTATTTTTTATGTTAAAAATCTATTTTTTTTCAGGGCCATGAACACTTTAACCCAGCTAAGAAGAATTACATTTTCCTGCGGCCATGTTTCGAGGACCTGAAGCCACGCTCTACATGAAATGTATATACCTAATTTCATTCCATTCATTTATTTAGTTACATAATATTTGGTTTTGTTATTACACCACCTAAAACATTTAAATAGCCTTGATGGCCATGATTCAATGTTGTGTATGAGTTTTCATTCTGAATGATGTCTGGAATCAATTCTTTCCAGATTTATTTACTTTTTGTTAAGTGAAATAAATTGTATAAGAATGTGCTTTATTTGAAATAAGTTAAGAATAAGAATTGAAACATACAAAATAATTGTACTTCCTTGTACTAATTTTGCTTCCTATATTCACGATTTGTATAGTTTGTCATTAAAATTAAATAAAAGAAAACAATTTGTAAAGTAACATTTTAATCAGCGCATTTTAATTACTCTATACATAGCAGGATAAATCAGATACTAATGTTCTCCATGGCCATGACCATGGTCGCCACCGCCACCGAGAACCTTTTCCATGGCCACAGTCACCACCGTCAGAGCCAGGCCAATAGGTAGGCCTCTGAAGAACACGTTGCGAGCGCGACCCCACTTTGTTCCAAATCCAGGGTGGTACCTCCACGCCTCATTCCTAAAACAGATGAATACTAAATTTTCAACCGACTTCAAAAAAAAGGAGGAGGTTCTCAATTCGACCCGTATGTTTTTTTTTTTTTTTTTTTTTCTATGTTTGTTACGCGATAACTCCGCCAATTATGAACCGATTTGAACAAATCTTTTTTCGGCGTATAGGTAATACCTCAAGGGTGGTCCCATTTAAATTTAATAATAGAAAAAACAACCCCCAAGGGTGGAAAATTGGGGATGAACTTTTTTATACGCAATATCTCCGCCGATTATAAATCAATTTGAACGATTATTTTTTTGTTGAATAGGTATTATCAAAAGGGTGGTTTCATGCGAATTTGAAGAAAATATTTCACCCCCAAGGGTGGAAAATTGGGGATGAACTTTTTTATACGCAATTTTTAGTTTTTTTTGTGTTCACGCATTTGAAGTCGGTTTTATTTTTTTAAAAAGTTAATTATTTGTGCAAGGAAGGTAGTGATCGAAATCAACATAATATGAGAATTAGATGAAGCTTTAAACTACCTACGAGTTAAAATGAAGTTTATAGTCAGAGAATAACTAAATTCAACGAAACAAAATACCTAATCCATGGGTCGCGAAGTCCTTTCTGAGCGAGTGCCTTCTCGAGCTCCTCAAGCTGTGGGATCCCTTTGATTTGAAATTGGGAATAATGAGGGATCTTGTATGGGGGCTCGTGTCCGTGTCCACCCATTGTTAAACTGCTGAATAAGAAATGAAAATCCAATAACAATATCATAACCTCAAAATCTGTTACATAACATTAAAATACTGACTAAGTAAAGACATTCATTTTAACTGTTTTAACATGAAATACCTTGGAAACATTATTTACCTGATAACTAAATTAATTAGTTATAACTACGTGAATTTTTACTCTAATAAAAACTATCTGTCAGTTGTCACTTTCAGTCAGACAGATTTTTGTTGACAAATTTGACAACACTAAAAAAATTGAATTGAAGCTTGAATTGCCAGTATTTAGCCAAATGACGTATGGAAAAGTTCTATCAAAATTATTGCATCCATAATCGAATATTCGAGTGCAATTAAACGAAAGAAAAAGACTAATCACCATTTAAAAATTATTGCTTTTATTACATAACTACATTCGGTAAGCGCTTTTTAACGAACAATAATAATAATAATGTTATGCTAAATTAAACTCTACATGTATGAAATAAGAGTTAATATACAGTAAGCATTTAACCTCGGCTAAGTGTCGAAGCTCCGAAACAAGATGCAGGGGAGGACGAGCGAGGGAGTGAAAACAAAAACAGCTTCTGCTTTGTTGTTTATCTGCGGTACAGAGGCGGCGCGGGTGCTCGTATAGCGTTGTTTTTAGTGATAAAACAGGATTCTGAAAAAAGAATAGCGTCTTTTTCATCGTCCATCTGCGTTTTAAAGCCGGATTACAGATCTAAATCTAAATTTCGCGTGCTCAACAATCAACGGTTCGCCCCATAGTTTTAATTGATACAAATTAAAAGTGGAAATAACTCGAGGGCATCCTGCGTGTATTAATTTGCGTTAAGTATAAATAGAAGGGGTGTGTTGGACGAAGCGGCCGGTGGTGCGATGGTGAGCGGCGAGGGCTCGCGAGCATGAGCGTGGCTGCGTGGTGCGCGCTGGCGGCGGCGCTGAGCGCGGCCCGCGCCGACAGCGCCGGCTCCGCGCTCCCGCTCCCGCAGGCTGGTGAGTAGTCGCGGAGTCCTGGTCCCCTTTCGGTATGAAGTTATTACACATGTATAGTACTGGTGTAGAGTGGGAGTAGATGTAGCTGCTATTTGGCTAGTAGACTTTTATATTGCAGAAATGCCATAATATTTCACCTATCTGCTGTTAAAAATTGCATTTATAAGCAACCAAAAACAATCAGGGATACATTTATTATATTAAGTAGTCCATTGTAGTTATCCACTTCACAGGCTTAGTGAAATACCAATATCTCTAAGGTAAAAACCTGAAGAATGTTGGCACTGTCATCAATTGAAAGATAAGAGAAGTGGCTCCGTACACTAAAGATTGTTCGGACTCCAGTGCCCGGAGCAACATGTGAGCAACCTTAAGTTGGTTCCGAGGGTGACTTAACTATCAGTTCGTTTAATTAATTGTTACTTTTTGTCACTAATTAATAATTTTGTTTTGGTTCATTATTTTTCTTGTCTATGTTCAATATTAATTAATTAATCACAGAAGTAGGTAATTATTGATTTATTTTTTCAGTAATGTAAGGTCTTATCTGAATAATTATGTTTATCTGAATAAAATTAATGTGGGTAATAATACCTCTGTGCTTTTGTTTAATAATTATTATTTATAATTTAACAAACATGACACCAATTTAGATAATACATACATACCTACATAGTAAGTAATTAGTTTGAATGATGAATGGAAACTATGATAAAAATTAACAGAAAATTATCCTTGTCATGAATTATTGTTTAAATTTAATGTATTTAAATGTATATTAAGTACTAATGGTAGTTGGTGAGGAGAGGATGGATGGATGTTTCAAATGCTAAACTTTCACTCATAAACCACTGAACCCAGAAAAACGGGATAGTTTTTATCCCGGTTTTTGGAAGAACACGCGTACGAAAAAGATTTTCTGTGACGGACCGAAACTCAGGAAAGATATTTATTTACTAAAAAAGGTTCATTGCACAAACTCTGTTCTAACATCCACATGGTTACGAAATGTAAAAGTGTGCCATAATTTTTTAAAAGTAATCCAAATAATTTATGAGACAGTAAGTATGTTTGTTTGGTCGTACAACGCATGCGAAGCTCCGGCGCGGAACGTAACCCGAGCCCGACGGCGCGCGCGCACGCTCCGCGCCCAGGAGCCGGCGGCTGCCCCTGATGTTACTGCACGCCACTCATGCAGACAGGATGAATCATAATAATAAACTGTCAACAAACGTATGAATGTGCCTATCCAAATCAAAATCCAATCCAATCCAATCTACTATTAGATATTGATTGGATTTTGGTCATGTAAATAGAAGCTGAAGACCTAGGATGGCATAGCCATTTCGTCGAGGCCTGATACCTTACATTGGAAAGAACGGACAATTATACAATTATACTTACGTATACCTGTCACAAATCTAGTCGAAGACCCAAGAGATAGATTGACCCGATACTATACCGAAGATATCCTGGACGTCAATCTGTACGAGATTAGAATGGCTCTCATACAGCTGAATCAACGCCGGTACTAAAGGCTCTTTAGAAGCTGTACGAGTCCGTCATCCTTGAGGGAAAAACGCCCACAGCATGAGATTATTCTTCTAAAAAAAACCTACACTAAAACGTAGAAAAATAATTACTAACTACCTACTTATTTATTAGGACGAATTATTAATATTTATGTAGGTATACCATGATTGATACTTCTGGAGTCGGTGCCAAGATTATGAAACATGTAAAGTTTGCCTGCACCGACTCCAAAAGTATCAATCATGGTATACCTACATAAATATTAATAATTCGTCCTAATAAATAAGTAGGTAGTTAGTAATTATTTTTCTACATTTTAGTGTAGGTTTTTTGGAGTCGGTTTTATTTTTTTTTTATAAAATTTTACTTATTTCTTGCTTTTTAGTTAACTAATTATTACGAGACAGAGAGACAGACAGACAGACAGACAGACAGACAGACAGTTACTTTCGCATTTATAATATTAGTATAGATTTATGTGCGATTGGGATATTGGGATATAATATTAGTTGGGATCTCACTTCTGGGCTATGTCTACAAGCGGTTTTCGAGAGTTTATTACGAATCGTCCTGCTCGCAAGCTCGACGAATTCCAGTCTCTTTAATCGAAACCGGTTTCCGAAAAGGTTTTTGCACCGTAGACTATACAGATTATACAGAAGACCGAGGAGTATAATCAACAATTTGCTTGGCGCTTACGGACTAAGAAAAAGCCTTCCATTCGATTTAGACCTGGGCAGACCTGCAGTCTCCCAACGTTGTCAAATTGACTATCAATACATAGTGTTGAATGGCTTGTACAAAAAAGCCACAATATCGGTCCGCCTCAAGGGTCAGGGCTCAAAACCTATCCAGTCATATCTCTGAGACCTTGGAAGTTGGAAGATCTGGGCACAGACAAAGGCCTCAGTTGCCTCAGTAGAGCCTCTCAACAAGTGGGTGTCACAATGAACAAGGACAAGACAAAAAACATGACAAATGTTCGGGTTGCACCCACTCCTCTGAAGGTTGGAGACTGAGAAAAAGAGCTTAAATGCCGATTCCAACTTGGCTGGACAGCATTCGAGAATTTCGGGAAGTTTCGCAAAATATTCACGTCCGAAATACCGCAGTGTCTCAAGAAAAAAGCCTGATCAGTGTGTGTTGCCAGTGATGACATACGGATCAGAGACGTGGTCGCTTATTATGGTCCTCATAAAAAGGCTCAAAGTCACTCAAAGGGCGATAGAGCGTGCTATACTCGTGAGTTTCCTTGCGTGGATGATGAATCAGATGAGGAGATTAGCAGAAAAACCAAAGTTACCGACATAGCCCGCAGAATTGCTAAAGCTCGTAGAGCTGAAGGCCGCTGGGGCAGAAAAGTTTTCGACTGCCGACCACTGCTTCCCTGAAGTTTAATATGTAGCTCAAAAGCTGATTCGCATTTAGCTAGGAAGACTATTACTGAATACCGTTGTATTAAGAAAAATCACTAAACCTTGCATTTTACTTAGGAGGGCTACTTTGGCCGTTTACTGCAGTAAATGGGTAAGAGTGCGTTTCATTTGTATGTGTTTATAACTGCAATGTAAAATAGAAGTGAATACTTCTTAGATACGAAATAAATAAATGCAGGTGCCAATGAAATGCTGCGTAAGCTTTTCAAATTGAAATGAAATTATTTGTAGAGTAATCCCGGAGTGCATTAGGCGGAGGTGGTCTGAGCTGAGCACCGCGCCTGGCGCCGCGCAGGGACGCGCCCGATCGATCACGTGCAAACACTGCTGCACCCAGCACACAGCTGTAGTAACTATGCACAGTGGCGGGGCAAGACCTAAATTTGATGTGGGCAAGACAGATTTCGCGAGGCCTTGTTCTGTGGCGACCTGAAGACGGATTTTATGAAATAATAAAAAAAAACGGGTCAATGGTCTATTCATTGACAGTTTCTGATTTCTTGATTCAGTGATTATTTTTAAAGGAATATTGCGCCAAAGAATAATGTTCGTCACTTAAAACCGTGTTGTTGCTTAATTTTGAGTCTGATTATGGCTGAATTTGTTTGGAAAAAAATATATTTTTATTTTTAACTACATTGTTTAGCTATCAAGAATTTATATTTAATAGTCAATGTTTGCATTTATTGTCGTATTGTGATATTGTCATCTCCACCTTGTATACATTTTTTCAAAATTTTTGATGCGCGAGGCCCCTTGTACCGCGAGGCCGTAGGCGGTGGCCCACGTCGCCTACGCCTTACGCCGCCACTGACTATGCAGTCCGACAGATATGGCCAGATACAATAAATGTATTACCTTCATTATTATTATATGTATGTACCTACTATACGATGGCGAATTAAATTATTATTAGGTACTTTATTGATAAATAAAATGGTATGTTCAGAAAAACCTTTGCATTTAACCATTTTCAAATTGGAAGTAGTTTTCGTTGACTGTAATTCACTTCATTGCAAATTACCTACTTACTAGCAAGTTCACGCTCTACGTATAATAGAAGTCTTGCGTGGAAGACGAACAACATAATACGTTATCATGTTGTCTTGTCAAAGTGCAAGCGTAGATACATACTAATGTGGGTATGTATTTACTATGACGTTCATCGTGATGTGAAACATTCGTTGAAAAATTGTTGAAAAACATCTCGAGACCAATTGAGCTCGAATTCGATCAATCATAATTCCTCTGCTGTTGTTAGTAGCTCTTAGCTTAGATTAGATTAATTTGCTTTTAGGGTTCCGTACCTCCTATATAAATCTTAATTTGTTGTTTCAGCGAAGTCAATAACGAACGAGTATTGAACTTATACTCGTCAGTGGGTCTACTTTACATAAATATTTAGTACTAGCGGCCGCCCGCGACTTCGTATGCGTGGACCTCGTTTAATTACTAATGATGTTGTAGACGGCGTTTCACTGCTTCCCCCTCATGAATAATTTCCGAACATCAAAATTTTTTGTCCAGCGCTGAATATTTTAACCAATGACGATAAATGGCGCTTTTTACCCACGTCTTATTTATTTATTGAAATTTAGTTGGTCACATATCGTCATAAATTATAGCTTATATGTTATTCTGGGTTGTAAACAATAATACTGTAAAGTTTCAACAAAATCCGTTCAGTAGTTTTTGCGTGAAAGAATAACAAACATCCAGACATCCAAACTTTCGCATACCTATAATATTAGTAGGATACAAGTTTTTAACTGAGCTACAATTTACTATAGGATAAGTTCTTTAATTTGGTTTTGTTTTTAATGAGTGGCGTGTAATAATAACCTACATCATTTCTGCTCTGCCTGGCGATAATTTTTTTTTTGTTGTGTTTTTGATAATCAAGACAAGATTAAGCTTGTAAGGAAAGAAATGTTTTTTGAGAACTAATTACTCTGGAGACCCATGGTGGCCACGGGTCTGAACTGAATTAATGGTGTTTTTATAAGTATATCGTAGTTAAGTCGTAACTGCACAAAACACTCGCTCAAGTATCGACGGGTTAAGCTTTAAGATCATCAAGGAACAGACTTCCTGCGCGAACGCAACCGGCCGGCCTATGGCTAAATTGATTAATTTGATTTAGTCGTCGTCCCGGTGGGTGCCAAGTACCTACCAACCAACTGCCTTGCCATGGGGAGAAAAGGAGCAAAATATATGTCGCTCGCGAAATAATCGCAAAATTGACGTGGATAGGTGAAACAGCTTAAAAGAAAATCCTCTAATATTACAGGATTATAGGTCACGTCAAATATTAAAAATCAAAAAAGGTATACTTATGAGTATTGGGTGAAGTTCGCTTCCATAGTCGGTCTAATCAGCACGTGTCAGCAGCACTCTCTATCAGGTCATGCAGGTCAAAAGTTTCACGTTGTGGGTAAAAATTGTCAGCGGTTCGGCGATTATTACTTCAGTTTATCTGTGGTTCAGTGTAAAGTGTAACAGATAACAACGACAGATATTGTATGGAGGGTACAACACTTAGTGTTGTTCCGCCGGCTTTTGGCGCGGCCGTGACCCGTGGCACGGCCAAGGTCGCCCTGCCTCACGGGGCACGTGGCCCCGTGGGATAGTTCAATGGCTTGTTAATTATCTCCAACTTTTTATTGCATTAATGTTGAACCATTTATTTGATATTTTAGTGAACTTTAAAACAGACAACAACACATTGTCGTAGCTATTTTTATTGATTAATTATTTAAATCTAGGTATAATTGTATTATCTTTTATGGTTTGTATACAAAATAATCATGCCAAATTATGTATTGTTACCAATGACGATTAGCAGATCATTGAATGGAGCTATTTATTCTAGTACCCAATAAACTACTGAAAAGTCAAAAAATTTCGTTTACTTGATTCAAAGTTTCAAAGATTATTTTAATCGCTAGTAATACTTACCAGATGAATAGTAGTGTTAAAATAGAACAGCGCACCTTATATCACCACACACTTGGATGACACATTCTAGATTTCAAAAATAAACTAACTAGATTCAGACTGAACCTGAAAAAGAACTGAAATATAGATTTTTGTATTATTTTTGGAGGTATTAGTATAATTTTGATTCGATTTCAGATCGGTTATAAATATTGAAGTAATAAACATACAAAAAAACGGAGAACCTCCTTTAATAGGTGAGTGTTTTTGAAGTTGCATCAAAGTAATTATGAATAGGTACCTATCCTATTAAATACCATCCATTATTATTCTGTAGCATTACGTAACTTGCTTGCGGTAAGACGGGCGGGCGCGGTCGGCGGCTCTGACCCTTGATACTTATTATCACTGGGTGCACTCGAACTATCTCAAAATTCAAGACTTATGGTTACTATTAAAATACTTATGTATCTTACATAATATCGAGACCGCCAGGGACAGGGATGACATGTCTCACAAGTTCACAACTGATTTTCAACGGGTTTACTGAAGTCATAGAATTAGTGTAGGTACTCGGACAACATAAAAATAAATTAGCCCACCTAGACAAAATGCAAAATGTGACAGTTTTTATGTCGAAAAATGGTCGAAAAGCCTTTTTAGGGTTACGTACTTATAGTTTCGATATGTCTGTCTGTCTGTCCAAGATTTTGCTTGGAAACTATTGGCACGAGAGAGCTGTAATTTTGTGGGGGTATGTACTATATTAATCACGCCGACTTAACGGTAAAATATTTTATTTTTTTAGGATAACTCCCCTACATGTAAAGTGGGGATCAATTTTTTTTTCAACTTCTACCCTATCGTGTGGGGTATCGTTTGATAGGTCTTTTAAAATGGTTTAGGGGATTCTAAGACTATTTTTCCATTTAGGGATCTGTTTGTAAATTATTAAAGTTTAAATAAAGTGCCAATTTTTGTTCGAGTAGGGCGTCTATAAAATAACGTGCATTTTTGTAAACTACTTAAAAAGCCCTTTATTTTGATACCCCACTCGATAAATTTTAGAGAAAAAAAATTTTTTTTAAGACATTATGGCACCTAAAATCCGCCATTTTGATTTTTTCCAACTTTAATATTGCCAGTGTTACTCTCACGATTAAGGCGAATCTAACGACACCACTCACGCTAAAATCGGTCAACTGTTGGCTTGGAAAATCTGGAAAAAATCGTAATTAATAATACTGCTTTTCATGAACTTTCAAGGAAAGCTTGCTTCCGAAAATATTATGTTAACGACGGACAACCACGGAACCCTACACTGCACGTGCCACGACACGCACTTGGCCAATTTTTTTGTATGGAGTTTCAACGGATTCGATTTTCGATTCGATGAAAAAGTGCCACTTGTCTAGACCTTTTCTGTAACTGTCTTTGACTGGAAATAATTACCTTTTTAAAAAAATAAAACCGACTTCAAATGCGTGAACACAAAAAAAAATAAAAATTAAAAATATTGCGTATAAAAAAGTTCATCCCCAATTTTCCACCCTTGGGGGTTATTTTTTCTATTATTAAATTTAAATGGGACCACCCTTGAGGTATTACCTATACGCCGAAAAAAGATTTGTTCAAATCGGTTCATAATTGGCGGAGTTATCGCGTAACAAACATAGAAAAAAAAAAAAACATACGGGTCGAATTGAGAACCTCCTCCTTTTTTTTGAAGTCGGTTGAAAATAAACTACTTACTAGATCTCGTTCAAACCAATTTTACTTTTAGTTTTCATGGTAATGTACATCTCACATATTTTTTTATTTTTATTATTCTCTTATTTTAGAAGTAAGAGGGGTGGGGGACACTCATTTTACCACTTTGGAAAAGTCTCTCTCCTAAACTATTCAGTTTAGAAAAAAAATGACACTAGAAACCTCAATATCATTTTATTCATTTTTGGAGTCCTATTCATAGGTACCCCACACGTATGGGTTTGATAAAAAAAAATAACTTTTCAGTTCTTAGTATGGGGACTTCCAAAATTTTTTGTATGAAAATCTTAATGCGGTTCACAGAATACATCTACATACCAAGTTTCAAGAGTAATAGCTCTTATATGTAGTTTCGGAAAAAAACTGGCTGTGACATACGGGCGGACAGACAGACAGACATGACGAATCTATAAGGGTTCCGTTTTTTGCCATTTGGCTACGGAACCCTAAAAACAAACTGAACCGCGGACTGATCTACTCAGTGCCATGACAAACGATTGTAACAGCTTTTGTTGACGGGCCCGATTTACTTATCGGCTCGTGCTTGCGTGTCCTGGCATCCCCAGTCAGTTGGCACATCTCAATAAGGTGCAAAATGTCATCCAGGTATACCGGGCGAGGATGCGACGAACTCCGCGGGCGACGGCGGGCTGAGCATGGTGACGTGCGGGCCCGACGAGTTCCGCTGCGCCGACGCGTCGCGCTGCGTGCCCGCCGCCTGGCGCTGCGACCTGCGCGCGCACTGCCCCGACGCCTCCGACGAGATGGACTGCAGTCAGTGCTCACTACTATTTTACCTATACAATATTTGATGATTTAAGAAATCGGACTCGCATTATCGGACCTTCCGTCTGTGTAGAGCTGAAAGAAATCTTATTATTTCTCGTAGCTTACAACGCGACGTGCGGCCCGGGGCAGTTCCGCTGCGTGCGCAGCGGCCTGTGCATCGCCGCCAGCTGGCGCTGCGACGGCGACGTGGACTGCGGGCCCACCGACACCTCCGACGAGGACGTCTACATGTGTGCGTACCCCCCTCCACCCCCTCACCGTCCTCGCCTTCTCTTCCTGGCTTTCTTTCAACACGTTTCCCCTGACATCGTTTATTGTAGCGGGTAAAAATTGATAAAACGATGTCACTTCGCAGGCAACCAGGACTTCAAGTGCGAGGGCAACTCGGCGCGCTGCGCCACGCCGCGCGACGGCCGCTTCGACTGCGTGCCCGTGGCGGCCTTCTGCGACGGCCGCCGCGACTGCCACGACGACTCCGACGAGTGGGACATCTGCGACAACTGTGCGTACCCTACATTGTATATATTATACGAGAAGACACAACAAACACCTGCTATTGAATGCTCGCATAAAACACAGATAATATCTGAAACTAACTTAGCGCTTCTTTTTGGTCTTTTTGGAAGCATCCTAATACGCCACAATATTACCTTTTAGGATTCCTAAAAGGTAATATTGTGGCACTCGAGCATCCATCCATATAAGAAAGAAAGAAAGAAAGAAAATACATTTATTTGGCACACTAGAACAACAAATTACAGAAATATTAATACGATAAAAAAATTAATTTAAAAATTATGCCAAATAGGCTTCCACTCAGCATAATGCCGCAGTGCGTAGCACCACGACGCTGGTTTTCAGTGGTCGCCTGATTGTAGTGGTGGAGAGGCGCAGGTAAACATTAAAAAAACAATACGCAACTGAGCAACGGTGATACATACACATTTTGGCATAAGTTTAAGTAAGACAGAAACAATAAACATGACAATGATAATAAGAATAACAAGGCACAAGATCAGATACCAACAGTAGATACGTGCAAACAGTCCCCAAAATTGTTACACGTGCAGANGTAGATAGTATTACCGTGTCGGGGCTCTGTTCCTCGAATATTGCCATGCATTGGAAAAAACTACCATTCTGGTAGAAAATTTTCCACCACGGCCCCGGATAGTAGAAAATGGATATTTCCAGAAATTCCAAAAAGTTGGTATGCAGTTTGTTTTCGTTTGGAGACTCGAATTTCACCATTTTTATCAATAAAGTCTGGTTACACTGAAAGTTACGGGGAAAACTAATTTTTGCGACATGTCTTGACTTAGTGACGAACAGAAGGAGTTCTGCCAGACAAAAAATAAAAATGAGTTTTGGTCAGGTATACGACCCAGAGCCCCGATTACGGTAATTTTTAACGTCTACAATCCAGACACGCTTCTCGATTCTGCGATACGATTAGTCGTTCAACAGCGTACGTCAGCTGTTTTGACCAATCGTATCGCAGAATCGATGAAGCGTGTCTGGATTGTAGACGTTAAAAGTTACCGTAATCGGGGCTCTGATTATGGGAAAAATCCGAAATGTCAAAAAATTAAGATGGCTGCATGGGCGGCCATTTTGTAAAAAGTTGAAAATTTCGAAATTTTAAAATGCAATTTTCTCGCAGTTGGCAACATTTTGGAAAGTCGAGAGGCAGTTAGGTATGCTGGGATACAAAAGAAAATCGAGTTGTAGTTATGGGGCGTTTGTGTGTTTTGTCAAGTACACTGGTCATCATAAAAATCGACCCACCCGCGACAAGCACTTTCAAACATATGCATCCCCACTTCCCACTAACATTACTAATATTATACAAACTTCATTTCATTAAAGGAAAGGTTTTTACCCAATGATATTATAGAAAATATCATTGTTTTTACCCCAAAAATGTGTCTGTAGAAGAATCCAGAGTCACTTCTTCAAAAAATAGGTAGCTAGTTACGCTTGAGCCAACTTTTATGGCTATAAAACTGTTAAGTTGGGATTAGTCGCTATCCATCTGTTATAGAGGACACGTGAGATCATTATTTGGTTTTATAACCATAAAAATTGGTCTAATTGATCCCAGAGGTGAGCCCAAAGTGAGGTTTTTTTTGAAAGAAGAAAGAAGAAAGAAAATACATTTATTTGGCACACTAGAACAACAAATTACAGAATATTAATACGATAAAAAAATTAATTTAAAAATTATGCCAAAAAGGCTTCCACTCAGCATAATGCCGCAGTGCGTAGCACCACGACGCTGGTTTTCAGTGGTCGCCTGATTGTAGAGGTGGAGAGGCGCAGGTAAACATTAAAAAAACAATACGCAACTGAGCAACGGTGACACATACACATTTTGGCATAAGTTTAAGTAAGGCAGAAACAATAAACATGACAATGATAATAAGAATAACAAGGCACAAGATCAGATACCAACAGTAGATACGTGCAAACAGTCCTCAAAATTGTTACGTGCAGAACTAAGTACATCAGAGCCCCGATTACGATAACTTTTAACGTTTCCAATCCAGACGCGCTTCTGATTCTGCGATACGATTGGTCAAAACAGCTGACGTACGCTGTTGAACGACCAATCGTATCGCAGAATCGAGAAGCGTGTCTGGATTGGAAACGTTAAAAGTTACCGTAATCGGGGCTCAGTTTTTGACGCTCAATAAGATAAGCCTTGAATTTGGTTTTAAAAGCATATCCTGTCAAAGAGTTCCAGATTGGTGGGGGTATATTGTTCCAGCATTTTGTAGTCACGTAACGAAAACTGCCGCGGATGCAGCCGTAGTGTGCCTTGGGTAGGTAAGCTTATAAGCCATACGCACCGGTCTACAAGAAAACGCCAGCTTGTCGGAGAGGTAAAACGGGTTTCTATTTTTAATGATCCCGAAAAGAAGCCCGGCAAGGTGGAGTCTGTAACGTGACTCCATATTCAGGAGTCCACCTTTATTAAGGAAAGGCGTAACATGAGCTCTGCGTGGGATGGAAAAGCAGAAGCGGGCGCAAGCGTTTTGCACACGTTGGATGATCCTTTTAGTGCGAGCCATAAGACAGCCTCCAATGACTGTGTCTGCATAGTTTAGTTTAGACAGTATCAATGACTCACAGAAGTATATGCGAAGCTCTACACTCAGGAACTGTCTTATCCTATAAAGAACCTTCAACCTATAGTAGCAGCTTCTTACGGTTTCTCGTATGTGATTTTCAAATTTCAGGCTCCCATCCATAAGTACGCCAAGGTTACGCGCCTCATCCACTCGTTCCACACACACACCCCCGATCCTCACCCCCGGGCCTTGGTTTTTTATATTGTGGATTTGACCCTTCGATCCCATAATGATGAATTTGGACTTTTTGGGGTTTATAACGAGGTTGTTTCGCTCTGACCAGTGAGCTACACGCTGCAAATCCTCATTAAGCATATCCACCGCTTTCGCTGTCTCTGCTGGGCTAAATGAGATGTAGACCTGGAGGTCATCTGCGTAGAGATGATATTTGCAATTGCGTATACTCTGAATAATATCGGAACTATACAAAATGAACAAAACTGGCCCCAATATTGACCCTTGTGGAATTCCTCTTCTAATGGGAGTGGCTAACGAGACATTTTTAGTGCCCTCATTGTCGCGGCATACTTCCACACGTTGGGTCCGTCCACTGAGATAGCTATTAAACCACCTTATCGATGCTCGATCAAACCCGTAGTAAGAGAGCTTGGAAATGAGAAGACTCGTATTTATGCTATCAAAGGCGCGAGAATAATCCAATAGCACCAGAATGGTTCCTTTTCCCACATCTTGTGCTCCCAAGACATCATCAATAACATCCAAAAGCAAGGTCGCCGTACTGTAACCAGCCCTGAACCCGGATTGCTTACAAGGCAGGATGTTATTATTTTCTAAAAAATCTACCATTTGTGAGCAAACAATTTTTTCTATGATCTTGGACATCAACGGTAAGATACTTATGGGTCGGAGGTCTCCCACAGAGGTAGGTTGGCTCACTTTAGGTATCGGCTTCACTATAGCCTCCTTCCAAATGTCCGGTACAACTCCCGTTTCAATAGATTTATTTATGATGGACGTGATTATAGACAAAGTTCGGGGCAAGGTAAGCAGCAACATATCCAGAGATATACCGTCAACTCCTTGTGCGTTGGTCGATATACGCTTAATAGTCTTCAACACTGTACTCTCATCCACTGTATGTAAATGGAAAACCGCATTGCCATGGCGATGGGACTGAAAATAATCATGTTCTGCTTGATCAACATTTTCGTTCCCTGGGATATCAAGGAAGTGTCTGTTTATGCAGTCTGCATCACCAATGCCCACAGGTAAATCAATGTTCTTCCCATCATTAAAATCTACATTTTTTCTAATATTCTTCCACAGTGCTTTCGGGTTCTTTGAATGTTTGTTGATGTGATGACGAAAGTAAGCAACCTTTTCACTATGCAATGCAGCATTCACCAATTTCTTCAACTCTTTATAGTAAGCCTTATCACACTCACACTCAGTCCGGCGGCTCCTAGCCAGTGCCCCGTCCCTCAACCTCATCATTTCCTTAATCGTATGTGTAATCCAGGGTGGGCTTTGCTCTTTAACAAAAGACTTTCTAATAGGTGCATGGCGATATAAATAGAATAGAATCATTCTTTGATCTTTCCTAGCTTAGTTTCAGGTTCAGGACGTGGTTAAGTAATGCTCCAGTCCAGTAAAGCGCGGCGTTTGTTGTTGCAGTCACGTCGAGCGCGTGCGGCTCGCTGGGCTGCGCGCTGGGCTGCCGGCCCACGCACGCGGGCGCGGCGTGCTACTGCGCGCCCGGCCACGAGCCGCGCGACACACGCTGCGTCGGTCGGTGCACTGTTCCTTAATTACTCTAAACATCCACGATTCATTACAGGCTATTTCATTCCGAAATCACTTTGGTAATGTCACTTCGAGACGATAGTCTATAACTTGCTGGCGTCTCCCATTTGCACTTATTTAAGAGATCTTGAATTCCCTGTGTCAGTTTCACCTAACGAAGCGCAAACCTTGTTTACTATTATGACAAAGATGACGTATCGTTTTTCAGATACCGATGAGTGCGCCTCCGACAGGTATTGCGCCCAGGTCTGCCACAACACGGTGGGATCGTTCTCGTGCAGGTCAGTGAAGTTTTCCAATCCAAATAATATTAAACCTATATGATAACTCACTCTTGTACGGATCTAATGTGAAATATTTTAATCATTAACCAACTAATAAATATTATAGATAGTCTTGATCCAGATAGTGTTACTGCAGAACATTAACCAAGTTCGTTTTCCAGCTGCGTCCCCGGCTACACGCTGCGGCCGGACCGCCTGACCTGCGCCGCCATCAACGGTGAGTACACCTCAAGTCGCCGCAACAACCACGAGCTGTCAAACGAAACCGATTTTGGATGATTCCCTGTCAGGATTATTTCATTGTTTTGAACAATAAATCAATCACTGAACCAATCACTATGTTTCTGAAGCACTATCTCTCGTAAACATCTACGATTTCACTAACGTAAAATCTGAAAATTTCTCAGAGTTCAAATTTTGAGCGTGCCAATAAGTGCTAATAAACTGTCACAGTGAACAGTTCTGTTTGACGTGATGCCGACGGCATCACGCATCTGTTTTTGTCACACAGTGTTGCTGCTAGTGACATCTCGCTCGCTCAGTTCTTTGTTGCTGTATTCCGCTAGGTATATTAACTTTGTGGGTGTACTATAAAAGTTGTGCCCGATTTTCAACCGACTTCAAAAAAGGAGGAGGTTCTCAATTCGACCCGTATGTTTTTTTTTTTTTTTTTNCGAACAAACAAACGAATAAAGTGATCGTTAAATGCCGATATCGAGTCATTGACACTAATATCGTCCCCGACAAATTATTCCCATGGCACAGCCTCAACATCTGAATCAAAATCCGCCAGTTTAATATCCTTAAGTGGTCTGTAGGTGATCCATCTAGGCGGTACTTTGGGTTTCCTTACAGGGACCTCACAAGTGACAAATGCGTGGGCACTGAGTTCAGGTATAAAGTCAACACAAACGTTAGACAGCCCTACAACGCTACTGCAAATCACGTCAAGCAACGTTTCAGAGTGTTCAGTAAAATGGGTTGTGGCATTCACAAACTGCTGAAGACCAACACAGCTCAGAAACTCATTGAATTTTCTCGTATTTACGTTATTTGTTGAGAGTAAGTTGATGTTAAAATCTCCCATCAAAATTATGCTGTCATATCTAGCAAATGAACAGATTGACTCGGTTAGCGCATCAAAAAAGGTATCCACATTCATCCAGGGTGGGCGGTACGCAGTGCCGATAACAATTCTGCACCCATTCAGTCCAACACTCAGCCACATCTGCTCAACGGGGGCCACCTCAGGGTGCGGAAGTTGCCTGGCATACAGACCACGCCGCACATAAAAGCCGACTCCACCTCCTCTTGAGCGAGTGCCCTCTGGTCGCGGGACGTGGCGCAGCCTGTGACTCGAGGGAGCAGGAGCACGTTTCTCCTCCCCTGGTCTAAGCCAGGTTTCGTTGATGGCTAGGATATCCACGTCATTTCTGTCCAGTGCTACGAGGAACTCGTCATGTCGTGTTCCAAGAGATCCCGGATTTAATAGGCCCAGAGAAAGGTTCTTTCTATTCTTAGTATACTGTATAATAAATGAGTAGACAATCTGCACGTACCTACAGTTACTCAAATATAGCTTCAACAGAGTTATGTGGCGACGGTCAATAGATATTATTTGACAACTAAGAACTATTGTGCTATAAAAATAAGGCAATAAGCAACGAGTATAATAACAACAGGAATAATCAATATGCAAACATAGCAAACACGAAAACATATCTTCCAGAAGCGAGCAATGCACAGAATCACAGCCAAGATACACAAGCAGATACAAAATATACAAATAGCATCGTCAACAATAGCACTACGCACACAGATACTTGTACAGAGTCTAACCAAGTCAGACATTAATCCAAAAATATAACAGCAATAATAAAAACAAAGTAGAGAGCAGTAGCGGCGTAAGGGGGGGGGCGGTGGGGGCGGTCCGCCCCGGGTGACAAGCCTCAGGGGGTGACACAAGTCGCGCAGATTAGTACTGATTAGCGGATCTGCCATGACAAGTCTGCGGTCTATCTCATGATACGGGGGGGTGCGACTGTCTTTCAATCTTCGAATCGGTAGGTAACCCCAAAATCCTGGGGGGTAGGGGGTGCCATAGGACTTATGAGGGGGGCCCCCCCCCGGGTGATCGCCCCGGGTGCCAACCCATGCTACGCCGCCACTGGTAGAGAGACACATTTTTCCACTATATACTACATTACAAAATAACAGGGAAAGAAGTAACAATAATTGTAAAAGAGTGGCAATAACATACACACAACTCGGCTACTGACGAGCCGGACGAACGGCGTCTGAGCCGAAAACCCGGATTAGGTCGTCCTCCGTACGCAAGCGATGGCGCGGGCTGTCCTTACTATAATGCTGACGAGCAAATATATGCCCATTTCTGGTCCAGATAAAGCGCCAATTTAGGCGGCCACCTAACTCGCGTGCTCGCCGAAATAGCTGTCTGTTCATCATAGCCGCTCATTCACATAGAAACGCTGCGGCGGGCCCGGCAGGCCCACACCTTCAGTGGTGGCGCCATGGCGCTTTTTTCAAGTTTTTCAAGTCACATTTATTAACGTGTTTTTCTTTAAGGATATTTATTGGGCTTTCAAATAACACCAATATTGTTGGGGCACCATGATTGTGTCAGTAGAAACGAGTTTTCCTGTAAAACGTAGGTGGGCCGATTTTTGTGATGACCAGTGTAGTATATTTTTTTTATTTTTTTATTTACACTTTTGCACATATAACTGTACAGTGGCGGACTTAATGCCAGGTGGCATTATCTGCCAGTCAACCACAGGTCGAGCAGAGAGNGTTAATTATAAATTGTATGAAGAATCGGCCAAATCGAATCGGCGTAGTGTGCGCACTCCCATACATGCCCATACTGATCAAATGCCCGACTAAACTATCGGCCAACTAAAAATCAACGGTGTGCGCCTACTCTAACTCGTGTGCCCGCAGACCCGCCGGACGAGCCGCTGTCGCTGATCGTGGTGACGGAGCGCGGCGTGCAGCGCGCGTGGCCGGGCCGCGCCGCCGCCGCGCGCCACTCGCTCGACGCGCTCAACGTGCGCGCCATCGACTTCCACTACTCCAACAGGTGCGGCGGCCCCACGTGACGTCACAGGTGACGCGTCGACACTTAGTGCCTTTTCACACGTTCCGGTTGCCGGCTATCCGGCGCCGGGTACCCGGTGGTGAAGTGTATGGGCATGGTACGTAGCTTTCACATGTTCCGGCGTAAAAAATCCGGCATGCGCATACATTCGACGCCGGGTAGCCGGCGCCGGTTAGCCGGCAACCGGGACGTGTGAAAAGGGCCTTAGCGGGAGCTAAAGGACTCGCTCTGGTTCCAGGAGCATCTGCTACGTGCACCACAACCTGAGCCGCTCGGCGCTGGTGTGCGCGCGCGCCGACGATCTGTCCGCGCGCGTCACGCTGCCCTCGCCCACGCTCTTCCCCAACCTCGACGGTGACGTATAAATAAATATCTTTAGAAAATTCCATACAGCGCCACCTAGCCCCAAATTGAGCAACTAATATGCTTGTGTTGTGGGTGCTAGCGGATATACTACTTGTATATTTTTTTAAATACACACATATTATACACAGTAACACTCAGACCCGTCACGGAAATTAACATCCATCAAATCAATTTCTTCCCGGCCGGGAATCGCACCCGAGACCTCTCGGCATAGTAGTCCGTTTCGAACCACAACTTCAATGAGGGCTATTGATTTATACTTAACAGTTGGCACCCCTGGCGATTGACAGGACTTTACAGTGGCGCCATCTTGATGAGTGCAAATGCGATAGTCCTCCTACCACTTTAGCGCTCACCAGTTGGTGCCACTGTCTTCGCTACTAGCAAGTGACAGGACCTTACTCTACAGTGGCGCTAACTGGTGAGCGCTAAAACGATAGCGCTCATTGGCCGTTTTATTTGTGGTTTTACGATTACGACGTGGTCAAATGAATGATTTGTTTTGTTTACTCGGCCGTCGACCGAGACTCACGAGTGGTTCCCCGCAGCCGTGAGCCACCTGCGCATCGACTGGCTGGGCAACAACTGGTACTTCGTGGACGAGCAGCGCGGCGCGCTGTACGTGTGCGCGGCGGCGCTGGACAGCTGCCGGCTGCTGCTGGACGCCGGCCTGGCCAAGCTGCACGGCCTGGCGCTCGACCCGGCGCGCGGGTGCGTGTTATACCACTCATTTACTACGAGCCTTGAGTAACTGAACTAGTCGCTATTGACAAAATACTGTTGTCGCACTTTAATCGAGTACAATTTACAAGTAATGGACAAGTTTCGTGATGTTGAAAAGATTACATTTCACTGAATAGGATTAAAATATAGACGAGAACTAAAAAGCTGGTGAAGTTATTTTTGAAATCCATCAAGAAATGGCTGACAAATTAAATATTTAAATTACCTCCATATTTTCGCGTGGAATTTAATGATAGGCGGTGCCGTAACGTCAGGCCACCTGTTCAAGTTTCAATCACAATGCTTACCACCCCTAACGCATTGTCAAGAATGACGCTATAATGTCAAAGTCTTTTTTTTCTTTTTAAATATGGTCAGGTCTTGGATCAAAAAAGGTCGTCAAAAAAGGTTACAATTTTACTAAGAAAGAATCTTGAGTGACCCTGGCTAAAAAATTAAAAATTACTAGATTTAAAAAAAAAATGGTTTTTTCAACAGCATTGGACCAGGGGTGATTTACTGTTTGTACTTCGAATGACTGTCGTGACTATTTCGAATCAAAATGGCGCGAATTTTGTTATGCGCAACTTTAGGGCCCTGTAACTTTTGTATTTGTAGAGATACTTTCATGATTCTTTCACAATTATTATTAGTTTTACTTATGATTTCAAGTTTTATTAAACAAAAAAAATTGGAAACTTGTCCATTAGTGGTTTTTGTATGAACTCAACTAAACCGCCCGGTTCGGACTCGTTTAGCCGATGAGGGAGTAAGCAGGGACGCGTGGTAAGCAGGTGCTACCCGCCTGTCAAAATAGAACAAAATGGATTGGCTCGACGATTTAGTAACCTACTGGACTAAATTTTTGGTGGTCGGACACGTTTAACTACTAAATTACTCGACTACTGCGAACAAAGTTTGAATGGCGCAGGAGCGAGCGCGGCTGACGTCATTTGTGGTCGCAGGCGCATGTACTGGTGCGTGTGGGGGAGTTCCGAGCCGGCGGTAGAGACGGCGCGCATGTGGGGCGGCGCGCGCGCGGCGCTGGTGCGCCACAAGCTGGTGTACCCGGGCGCGCTGGCGCTGGACGCGGCCGCGCGCCGCCTGCACTGGGCCGACGCCTACCTCGACACGCTCGAGGACGCGCGAGCCGACCCCGCCGCCCTCCCCGCCGACCCCGCCGACGCCGCCGACCCCGCCGACCCCGCCGCCGACCCCGCCGCCGACCCCGCCGCGCTCGCAAGACGCACGCGCGCTAGAGGCCTGCAGGTACTATTTCCTCATCCTATACTAACTGAACTACTACCAAAGTTTTCTTATAACTAAAGCCACGTAATTATGTTGCTATCGCGCTCGCACACTCACTGCGGGCGCGCGTCGCACAGTCGCGACAGCAATATAATTACGCGCGAGCGATAAGGATGGGTAGCTTGGGGTCATTGGACGGGATTCTACGTGCTCACGGACCAGGCTTTAAAAACCATGACTCGTCTTTTAAGTGCTTTTGCACCTGGGTCAGAAGGAGCCACTCTTTCGTAGCTAACTAATAACAAATTAATACTTGTACTGTCTGAATACACAAATGCAAAGCTCAGCTTATGCCTCGCGAACTGTAACTGATTGAACATCAAGCACCTATGACAGAGCAATCAATCAAGAGTCATAACATTAACATTCTCTTTCCTACACGACGAATAAAGGATTCATCCAGGGACGCACTATGGCGCCCTTGGTGGTGTAATAATTATACAGACTAGTTTTTTTGTCGAACAATAGCCTATTACAACTGAATATGGATTTGATTAACCGAATATTGTATTTTTAGTTGCAAATATGACAAGAGCACGATACGAAAAGCTGAGTCAGCGTATTTGATAAAATGCATATCACGTACATTTCTATAGGATCATCTGCATTAAAATTCCATCAAAATTACATGAGTAACGTGACGTTTTAATGAAGCTATTTGGAGTCAATGGAAGTTTAGTGTTTAATGGATGGTTGTATAAACACCTACTAAAGTTGCTATCACCATGATCTGTTGGACTCTAGGGGAATAGAGGTACCGGGTTTGATCTCTAATTATGACACAGAAAATTACATTTTGTTACAATGTTGGGCGGGATTTCATGACTTATTATTTTTACAGAAATGTTATTCTGTAGATTCTTCGAATTTTAGACACGTCCGTCTCCAATAGCGATGTAACCTAACACAGGATTGTAAGTGACCCCTATTCTCACAGCCTTCTGGCCAGGTAAAGCCCGGTCGCCGAGCACGTAGAATTATGTCCAATGACCCCAAGCTACTCGCGTAATTATGTTGCTGTCGCGCTTGCACACTCTCTGCGGCCGCCCGTCGCACAGTCGCGACAGCAATATAATTACGCGCGAGTGATAAGGATGGGTAGCTTGGGGTTATTGGACGATTTTCTACGTGCTCGGCGACCGGACTACAGTGCAACTTAGCATAGTAGCGGCGGTGTCGTGATCAGCGTAACCGTGTCGCAGGCGCAGCGCATCGTGCAGATCTCGACGCTGGAGGACGAGGTGTTCGTGCCGCTGTGGGCCGCGCAGGCCGTGGTGGCGGTGGCGGCCGACGGCGCGCGCCGCGAGCTGCTGGCGCTGCCCGCGCGGCCCACGCACGCGCTCGCCTTCCACCGCCAGGCGCAGCCGCTGCCCAGCCCGCCCGGTGCGTATACAGCGGCCACAGAGTAGCGTATACAGTGAGCTATTCACGACACATGTAGCTGAACAACTGACATTCTGTTCGACCAACTATAACTCTCAGAATGTTATGCCACGGTAATAATATCATACAGTATTGTAACTTCATATAAACCAACGAAACGCGAGCTTTCCTTCGAATTTCAAATCTCGGGACGTGGTCGAGATGAAAAAATTAGGGGTGTCGCGAATGTGCCGAACGGACGTCGATGGCCTAATGTTGAAAATGACTAAGGTGATTGAATTTGACTGATCGTCATTGACGGTCAAATTTGTCAAAAACTAGTCATTAACTGTCAGAAATGGTCATTTTCAGTCAGTTTGATTTGAAATGAAAATTATATATTGTATAAAACCAGCTTTTGCCAACGATTTCACCCGCCTGAAATTAAAGTAACAGGTCATTGAGTACTCATTATGATTAGTAGATTCAAAATTATTTTAGAAGGTATATTTTTTAAAATTAAATCTACTAATCACAAAACAACACGCATTTTTATCTTATTCCATTCACGAAGTATTCTGTTTGTCTTAATAAAAAAAAATTACTATTACAAAACTGGATAGAAATTCTAAGTAGACAGATGTAATTAGAATGGGTACTGTAGGTGAGCAGCCCTATCGCATGTTGTCATACCGTGACGAACCGCGGGGCTGTTGACATTTATTTAAAAAATATGGCCGAGTTGGAATACTGTATAGATAGTATTACCGTGGTTATGCGCAACTTAAATCGCGATCCTGACCGGTCCTGATGAGTGTCCCAGGATCTGTCAGGATATTTGAATAGAATAGAAAATCACATTGAATGCTCATCCTCATCAGTTTACGAATTAAGCTCAGTGACTAATTTCACATGTGTCGGGTTGGTGCTGCCGATTCAATGATCATGCCTTATAACACGTTGCCTGTGCCCGCAGCGGAGCACCCGTGCGCGGCGCGGCGCTGCGCGCACATCTGCGTGCCGGACGAGCGCGCGGGCGCGCCGCACGCGCACTGCCTGTGCCGCCACGGCTTCCGTCTGGTAGGCGCCGGTGACTGCGTCCGTGAGTGCCCACAATGTTTACTCAGTGCATATTTCGAGTTCCGAGTCTGAAGATTTGTTTTGAATCCCACTTCGTACGGAGGATCGCCTAAGTTTGGTCGTGGCCGGCAGGCGTGCGGCTGGACAGCTACCTGGTGCTGGCGCGGGGCTCGCCGCCGCTGGTGCAGGCGCTGGCGCTGCAGGCCGGCTCGGCGCTGGAGCCCGCCGCGCCCGCCGCGCACGCCACCCGGCCCTCCGCCGCCGACGTCGACGTGCGCGCCGACTACATCTACTACTGCGACGTGCACAGGTAGCCAAATATGAGTCGTCGATAACTCATTAAACGCACATCGACTGCTAATTAATAGTACGATAACTCACTTTACAGATACGAGATAGTGCGTCAGAAACTGGACGGCAGCGGTCGAGAAGTCTTCATCAACGAGGACGTCGACAACTGCGAAGGCATTGCGATCGATTGGATGGGTGAGTGCGCGAGACCGTTCGACACAGGTGTTCCATTTGGCTAATAACAATGAAACATGTACCTCAATGTGTTTCAGGAGGCAACCTGTACTGGACGGACGCGGCGCTGGGCCGCGTGAGCGTGGCGCGGCTGAGTGCGCCGGCGCTGCGGCGCGCGCTCGTGGACCAGCGCGACTACAGCCCGCGCTCCATCGCGCTCGACCCGCAGCACGGGTACGTGGCGGCGCGGCCGGTGTGCCGGGTGCCGGGGCCCCGCTGACTGTGGCTCTCTGTCCGCAGGCTGATGTACTGGGCGGTGTGGGCGGGCGCGGGCGCGGCGTGGGCGGGCGGGCGCATCGAGCGCGCGCAGATGGACGGCGCGCGGCGCACGGCGCTGGTGAGCGACGCGCTGCACTGGCCGGCCGGGCTGGCGCTGCACGCGGCGCGCGACGAGCTGTACTGGTGCGACACCTACCTCAACAAGCTGGAGCGCCTGCTGCTGCCCAGCAACAAGCGCGAGACGCTGCTGGCCAACTCGCCGACCACGCCCATCGTCAAGCCCTACGGACTGGCCATCTACGAAGGTAGTGTATTCGTTTTTGTACTACTACAACTATTAAAATTTGCTACTGAATTTAGTGTATTGAGACGATGAGTGAGTTGTATTGTGCTCGTGCCCGGCAGACACGATCATGTGGAGCGAGCACGACTCGGGGCTGGTGCGCGCGCGCGCGGCCAACGGCAGCGTGTCGGTGCTGCACGCGCTGCCGCCGCCGCTCTACGACCTGCGCCTCGTGTCCGCCACCTCCCGCCACGGTCAGTATCCATTTTTTTTGATAAGCTCTTTAAAACAATATGTATTTATCGTAATTATGTTTAAACAGGGAGGCCCCTATGATTTTCATTTTGACCGAATGGATGCGGTTATTATTTTTTCTATGAACGAAGTAAACCACTTGTGATTTAGAAATCGGCGTAGCAGATAAAATGTATAAATATGATTTTTTTTAAATTACCCTGTATGTTAAACTAATCGAGAAATAAATAAATATTAAGATTTACGGCTTAAGTTTGCGACCTACCACTTTCTGAACGCGAGTTAGTAACTTGAGATCTTCTATTTGACGTGTAGAATTGTAAAACACTTGTGCATGATGGCTCAGTTAATTGAAAGAGTTATAAGATCAAGCATGCTAAAAGCGACCGCTCACTTATTACCCATACTCGTTGGAGCGTGTGTGTCGCGTCACGTGCGCAGTCTGACGTGTGGTGCGGCGCAGGCTCGAACGCGTGCTCGCGCGACAACGGCGGCTGCGCCGAGCTGTGCCTGGCGGCGGGCGCGGGCCGCGCGTGCGCGTGCGCCCCGCCCCGCGAGCCGGCGGGCGGCGCCGCGTGCGGGCCGCCGCGCCCCGCGCCGCGCCTCACCACGCCGCCGCCCTGCGCCGCCGACCACTTCCACTGCGGCAAGGGGTGAGTGCCTCAAACGCTACTCTTCGGCGTCTTACTAATTAATACTCTTTGCTAATTTGATTTAAAGCCAATAACATTTTCTTATTTAAATACATGTGTAAAGTAAATACTTTTTTACATAAAGAGTACATTATACATGTATGAGTGGGGAGCAACCCCCGTCCGTCAAAGTCCCCGTCGGTTTGGATATCCGGCTCGAAGGACCAAAGATGTGTAAGAGAGTTTCTAATTATGATGATAAGGGATGGGTTTGCTCCGAAGAGTGTGAAATAAAAACCTGACGTAGAGACACGACTTGATTTGAACACATTAATCCAGACGTTTTATACTCTAGCTAGATTAATTGTACTCTAAATTTTTTCTCCCAACACTCCTCACTGACCGTTTTCATTTAAATTTGAATTATGAATTCGTTATAAGAAAAAACATTTTAAAGTTACTTTTGTTTTTTAGCCGCTGCGTGGACTCATTATACGTATGCGATGGCGACGTAGACTGCCCCGACGGCTCCGACGAAGACGTGGGGCCCAACGGACCCTGCGGTAAGTAAACTTCAATTATAATAATAATTCACCTGATGGTTTCTATTAAAATAAAAATAAAAACTCTAGAACAAGACAACAATCATCTTCTTATCTCACCTAGTTGCGTTTTGGAATAAGTCATTTCGGCTGTGAAATATTTAGCACCTATGATTAGCTCTAGAAATAGAAGGTGATGCAATTCAGCCTATAATAATATTTAAACGTAACTATAACCATAACCGGTGTTTTTTGTATGGAGTTTGACAGACGTTTGTTAAAGTTAAAGTAAGATATTGCAACCCAGCCTGAGAGTTACGTAATAGTTAATGGTATGATGTATTAAATTTTAGCGAACGTGACATGTGACGAGGACCATTTCATGCAATGCGATAAGAACAGGTGTCTGCCAAGAAGCTGGGTTTGCGATGGTACCAAAGGTGAGTCTCAAATTCTTTATTTATTTGTTTAAAACACGGTACATTTCAGTCACTATTTTGTTAGGAGAACAACATGTTTCATCGACATTGCGACATCTGCGAAATTATTCAAAAATTATTAAATTAAAAAAAACAACATAATTAAGAAATAGTAGGTACCAAAGTAGGAACCACATTTAAATGTTGTGAAATAAGGAGAAAATCTTTATTGTGTTGGGAACGTTAAGGTGTTGGTTGTGTGTAAGGTTCTGTAATTACGAGCCTATGTGTTAAAATGTCAATCGTTTTGGTTGAGGAGATGGTACAGTTAGCGTCAAATACGCAACGTAGCCAAAAAGTTAGCAACACGTCTTTGTTACAATAGACGAGTTTCGTGATGTTGAAAACATTAGATTTCACTGAATGGGATTAAAATATAGACCAAAAAACTAAAAAGCCGGTGAAGTAATTTTTTTGAAATCCATAAAGAAATGGCTGATAAATTAATTATTTAAATTACCTCCATATTTTCGCGTGGAACTTAAATATAGGCGGTGCCGTGATGTCAGGCCACCTGTTCAAGTTTCAATCACAATGCTTACTATAGATGACCCACGCTGAACTGTCCCACCAAACTCATTGACAGGGGGGCGCTACCATCGTTCAACTATATGGTTTCCAACATGGCAAAAATCGGAATCAGCGATCCGGTATTGACGGTGGCGCCCCGCTGTCAATGTCATGGATTGGAAAGTTCAGTATTTTGGAACTATACCCCTAACGCATTGTCGAGAATGACACTATAATGTCAGTCTTCTTTTCAACCGACTTCAAAAAAGGAGGAGGTTCTCAATTCGACCCGTATGTTTTTTTTTTCTATGTTTGTTACGCGATAACTCCGCCAATTATGAACCGATTTGAACAAATCTTTTTTCGGCGTATAGGTAATACGTCAAGGGTGGTCCCATTTAAATTTAATAATAAAAAAAACAACCCCCAAGGGTGGAAAATTGGGGATGAACTTTTTTATACGCAATATCTCCGCCGATTATAAACCAATTTGAACGATTATTTTTTTGTTGAATAGGTATTATCAAAAGGGTGGTTTCATGCGAATTTGAAGAAAATATTTCACCCCCAAGGGTGGAAAATTGGGGATGAACTTTTTTATACGCAATATCTCCGCCGATTATGAACCAATTTTTTTTGGTCTCAGTGTACTGCCTACCTTCAGTGGTAACATCAAGGTAATAATTAGTTAACTAAAAAGCAAGAAATAAGTAAAATTTTATATAAAAAAATAAAACTGACTTCAAAAAACCTACACTAAAACGTAGAAAAATAATTGCTAATTACCTACTTATTTATTAGGACGAATTATTAATATTTATGTAGGTATACCATGATTGATACTTCTGGAGTCGGTGCCAAGATTATGAAACATGTAAAGTTTGCCTGCACCGACTCCAAAAGTGTCAATCATGGTATTATTTTTCTACGTTTTAGTATAGGTTTTTTGAAGTCGGTTTTATTTTTTTTATAAAATTTTTTCTATGTCAAAAAAGGTTACACCATTTTACTAAGAAAGAATTTTGAGTGACCCTGGCTGAATTAAATTTAAACTACTAGATTTAAAAAAAAAATGGATCTGTCAACAGCACTGGACCAGGGGTGATTTAGTGTTTGTACTTCAAATGACTGCCGTGACTACTTCGAATCAAAATGGCGTGAATTTTGTTAAGCGCAACTTTAGGGCCCTGTAACTTTTGTATTTGTAGAGATATTTTCATGATTCTTTCACAATTATCATTAGATTAACTTATGATTTCAAGTTTTATTAAAAGAAAAAAATTGGAAACTTGTTCATTGGAATAAGGTTGTTATCAACTTGATGGTCAGTTCGGGTGCTATGAATATTAGACGGCGAGTGTACGGTTGGAGCGTGTGCGTTGCAGACTGCGCGGACGGGTCGGACGAGGCGGAGGCGGCGTGCGCGCGCGCGTCGTGCGGCGCGGCGCAGTGGGCGTGCGCCGGCTCGCGCCGCTGCCTGCCCGCCGCCTGGCGCTGCGACGGCGCTGTCGACTGCGGGCCCAACGACCGCAGCGACGAGGAGAACTGCGGTACGCTAAGCGCTGATCACATCTTGTTTCGTATATAATTACTCATGCTGTTTCTTTTCCATGTAGAATTAAATGGTATTATCATACATCATAAGTTTACTGTAAAGTGTAAAGTCTTATGAGATTTTAAACTTTCGCTTTACATTTCAACAAAAATACAGAAATACAAGTCTCAACATTTGTGACCACGGCTGCAGTATAGCAGCCTAAACGTCAAGCCTACATAAGTACAATATGTAACTCATATAAAAATGTCGCGTCGAGACCCGTGTTTCTCTATTTTAGTGTAAAGTCGTCGAACATAGAAACCTCCACTTTTTAAGACGGTTAAAAAACTATTGAATGAACAACATGGATCAATAAAACAGCGTTACAAGTAGTTACAAGTTTCTCTAACTTCTGCCGATGTTCGGTTGGTACAGAGTCGGCGGACTGCGACAGCAACCTGATGTTCAAGTGCGCGGAGGGCGGCGGCGGCGCGTGCGTGCCGTGGGAGTACTACTGCGACGGCCACGCCGACTGCGCCGACGCCAGCGACGAGCGCGCCTGCGCCTCGCCCGCGCCCGCGCCCGCCTCCGCTGAACCTGCTGCCACCACCGCGCGCAGGTACCGCCCACGTGCACAAGCGTTGACACACAGGGCGCCATCAGAATAGACGTGGCGCGCTTGCTGCACCATGTACTAGTTTTCATGCAACTTTTAGAAGCTCAGCTGCAGCGCTGCAGGTGTAGCGCCACTACGATTTATGTTTGCCACCGTGGCGTTAGTGCATCGCTTGCTCACGCCTCTAATTTGAATCCTTTGTCATTGTATTTATTATTATTATTTTTTCAATTTAATAATCTGCTCCCCAGTGACCGGCACCCGAATCTCTACGACAAGGATAAAGGAGGCCTGTGCGAGGAACACGAGTTCCAGTGCAAGAACACCGAGTGCATTCGCATGGTGAGTCAAAGCATGGCCTAGTAGTAGTTAAAGTTAGGAATCGACGACGTCATTGCTTAATCAACGTCGTTGCAAAATGAGGCATTATTTCACATCAGGTAAGGCTAATTCCACCAAACCAGAACCAGACGCAGGTTAGCGTATAGTTCCAAAATACTGAACTGTACTATCCATGACATTGACAGCGGGGCGCCACCGTCAATACCGGATCGCTAGTTCTGATTTTTGCCATGTTGGAAGCCATATAGTTGAACGATGGTAGTCCCCCCTGTCATTGAGTTTGGTGGGACAGTTCAGCGTGGGTCATCTATACCATCCCTACATTGTTGACTGACATTCCACCAGCTCGCACTAAGCGTTTCGACGACTCTTTTATAATGCGAACAGCTAGGGACTGGAACTCGCTGCCTGCTGCTGTATTTCCTGAACACTATAATCCGGGCGAGAGTGAATAGGCACTTACAGGGCAGATATGTACCATCCTAGACTGCATCTCATTTAACACCGGGTCAAATACCTGCCTTGTCTTGCATAAAAAAAAATATATTTAAACACACCTCTTAACCTGCATGATATTCGGTGTCAGGAGTTCTGGTGCGACTCGCGCGTGGACTGCCTGGACGGCTCCGACGAGGAGGACTGTCCTCGCGGTGCCTCCACGGCCGCGCCCGCGCCCACCAGCCCCGCCCCGCCCGCGCCCGCCTGCGCGCCGCCCGCGCTGGCCTGCGACAACGGCACCCGCTGCGTGCCGCTGGCGCTGCAGTGCGACGGCCGCGCCGACTGCGCCGACGGCGCCGACGAGGCCGACCGCTGCGGTAAGCGCCCCGCCCCCCACCACTCGGGCTTATGTGCGACTTGTAATAATGAATGACTCCTAAACTTTATGACAAATTGCCAAAATAGCTAAGAGACGCCAACTTGAACACATTTCGCAAAGAATTGTTGACCCTTGACACTTTTAATAAGAAAAACATATTATACATTGGCCGATTTTTTTAACTGATACCATAGAATAATAATAAGTACTCTTACGTACAGAAAGTTTTTTTCCCGAAGGTGTTTCAAAAAATGTTTACTCAATGTCGTCAACAATATGGTGTAATTTAACTTGTCTCAGAGTCGAGCACCGTTTCGTTTGATTTATGTCAGTTATCGGTAGTGTGGCAATGTGATAGGGATGACTGTTACAAGAAGCTACTGTCTCGCCACCACACGCGTATTTTTTCTTATTTCCCTAATGATTTTTTTATAACGGGTGAAGAATACGCCGGCTTACGTCACTCACTACTCATTTGTGAATGCAGGAGAGTACGCCGTGTGTGTTTTGTTTCGATGCATACTCGCGAAGATGAACAGGCTTGGTGATAGTGTCGTGATCAGTGATTTAATTTAATGTAATTGATAACTATTCCGAAACTGTTCACCGCTGCATTGGAAGACGCTTTCAAACTCCTGGAATGGAAAGGATTCGGCATAAACATTAATGGCGAGTACATCACTCACCTTCGGTTTGCCGACGATATTGTGGTCATGGCAGAATCGTTGGAAGATCTTGGCACAATGCTCGAAGACCTTAATCGAGTTTCCCAACAGGTAGGCCTGAGGATGAACATGGACAAAACGAAGCTTATGTCGAATGTCCATGTTACGCCCTACCCAGTTTCAGTTGGGAGCTCAATTCTCGAGATTGTCGACAAGTATGTCTACCTCGGACAAACGATTCAGCTAGGTAGGTCCAATTTCGAGAAGGAGGTCAATCGTCGAATCCAACTCGGCTGGGCAGCGTTCGGGAAACTACGCAACATCTTTTCATCCAAATTACCTCAATGCCTGAAGACTAGAGTGTATAACCAATGTGTGTTACCAGTGATAACTTATGGCTCGGAAACGTGGCCTCTCACTATAGGCCTTATACAGAAGCTCAAAGTTGCACAGCGTGCTATGGAGAGGGCTATGCTTGGTGTTTCTTTGCGAGATCGAATCAGAAATGAGGAGATCCGTAAACGAACCAAAGTCGCTGACATAGCCCGACGTATTAGCAAGCTGAAGTGGCAATGGGCAGGGCACATAGTACGCAGAACTGACGGCCGATGGGGCAGAAAGGTTCTGGAATGGAGGCCGCGTACCGGAAAACGCAGCGTGGGACGTCCACCTACAAGGTGGACCGACGACATCGTAAAGGTAGCAGGGAAGCGCTGGACGCAGGCCGCTACCAATCGATCAACATGGAAAGCATTGGGGGAGGCCTATGTTCAGCAGTGGACGTCCTGTGGCTGAAATGATGATGATGATGATGATAACTATTCTCAATATTTGCATGCTATGACTTGTGGCTGAACAGGCACTGACACTTTGAAACATGAAAATATGCCTAAAGACCTATTGTTACCTTGTTTTATGCAAATAAATATATTATTTATTAATTTATACCCTCTGTGTCCGCAGGCGAGCCGATGTGCGAGCTAGCGGCGTGCTCGCACGAGTGCCACGCGGCGCCGGGCGGGCCGGTGTGCGCCTGCCCCGAGCCGCTGCGGCTGCAGCCCGACCAGCTGTCCTGCGCGCCCGCGCACGCCTGCTCCGACTGGGGCGTCTGCAGCCAGGTCAGACGTTCAAATTTAAATTCAAATTCATTTATTCATTGCATCATGTAGTACATTGGATGTTAAATTGTAGTGTCTTAGATCTAAACATGTACCCTGCTGGGCAAACGTTAAACGTTAAAGTTAATATACCTAGCGGAATAGACCAACAAAGGACTGAGCGAGCGAGATGTCACCAGCAACAACACTGGTAAAATGAGATGCGTGATGCGACGTGACAAAACCATATGACACGCTGAAAATTTGAGCTTTGAGATTTTTGCAAATTTTACTGAAATCGTGGTGACTGCTTTAGTGATAGATTTTTTGTACAAAACGGTGAAATAATGACATCAGTGACATCCTAAAATGGTTTTCGTTTGACAGTTGGTGGTTGTTGCTCTATTCCTAAGTAATATTAACTTTATGGTTAAAATAACCTTTTGAGATATTGAAACATGTTATTTCTGGGAAATATTACTTTATTAACCGGTATTTATGCGCAGACGTGCCAGCCGCAGAAGAACGGCCGCCACAAATGCACCTGCTACGAGGGCTACCGACTGGCAGACGATGGATTCACATGCAAAAGCACAGGTATTTATGTACCTACATTATTTTTTGTTTGTGGGCTTTGCGCATGCTTCGTTACAAGACAAATATTGTTGTAAATTATTATAATCTCATGTAAGTGAACTACCCTGTTCTTATGAGAATAAAGATTCTTTAAACCGAAGTTATTGCCTTCGATCCCAATTCTGCCTCGTTTTGTGTACGGGTGGAGTGTATGATGTAATTAATAGTATCAGGCGTTACTTTGCGGAAATCCGTAATTAGATATTAAAAAGATAAAATTACTTAACATTTCCGCTTAGGGACCGGTACAAATACTCAATCACACTACTCGCGCCCACCAACTATTTTATATGTAGTACAAGCAAATGCATGTATGATGTACGTACAGTCGTGGTCAACTAATTAGGGACGTTATATGACTAAAACACAAGACCGTCTCTCCAGTCCGAAAAAAAAATCTTCACGAGGCTTTGTAGCTTGTGCCTAGTAATAACAAGTAATTTGGCTAGTATTCTAAATATTTAAAGGCCAGAAAAGAAACTAGCTAGTTGCGATCAATATTTTTAAAATAAATAAATCATTGCCACCTACACATTTATTGACCTAGGGATGGACAACTAATTAGGGACACGTAACACTTTCACTGTAAATGTAAATAAATTGGAAATTGTTTAAGTGTTTATTACATAAAAAGTTTTCATTAATAAATATAGAATACAAAACAAAATCATCAAACGTATTTTTATAACCAATATGGTTGGTTTTGTTGGTTATAACCATTTGACATCGGCGGGACATGGATGCAATCAAATCATTACAGGTTTCTAAAGAAATATTATTCCAAACACCATGAAATGCCACGAAAAGCAGATTTTTAGTGCCAGTTCGTTGAGCTGCAACTTTTTCCTTCGTTTCATACCATAAGCTCTATAGGGCTTAAGTTTGAGTTGTTTTCGGGCCAATCTAGTACCGTCACTGACTGTTGCGCTAGGAACGATTAAACAGAGTACGCGGTATGTTTTGGGTCGTTATCGTGTTGAAATGTTCATGAGACTGGTAAGACTTCTTCAGCATACGATAGCATCGTTTTCTAAGTATCAATCATGGTATACCTACATAAATATTAATAATTCGTCCTAATAAATTAGTAGGTAATTAGTAATTATTTTTCTACGTTTTAGTGTAGGTTTTTTGGAGTCGGTTTTATTTTTTTTTATAAAATTTTACTTATTCCTTAATTAGCGTTAATACAAATGACTGATTTGTGTTGTCATGAGGAAAATGTACCTAATGACAAACTCTTAATTTTATGTTTGGAGACAAATTTTTGTTAATGCTTGATTAACCCCCATAGTTTCAAAGTGGATACAATTTCATTTTACGCAATCTAATAACGCAGGCCAATATTTTAATTCGTAAGAAACAGATCTTGAAAATAATTTTTATAAAAAAAAAAAAACCGACTCCAAAAAACTAACACTAAAAAGTAGAAAAATAATTACCTACTAATTACTTATTTATTAGGACGAATTAATATTTATGTTATACCATGATTGATACTTCTGGAGTCGGTGCCAAGATTATGAAACGTGTGAAGTTTGCCTGCACCGACTCCAAAAGTATCAATCATGGTATAACATAAATATTAATTCGTCCTAATAAATAAGTAATTAGTAGGTAATTATTTTTCTACTTTTTAGTGTTAGTTTTTTGGAGTCGGTTTTATTTTTTTTTATAAAAATTAACTTATTTGTGTTCCATCTTCAGTAGTGGAACTTTTCGAGGAACTCTTCCTACAAGCTTTGCCTCCACCAGTCGCCTTCTGACGGTCCTCGCAGATACTCCAGATGTCGGTTCTGGTCCAAAAATCTCGCTCTTGATCAGAACGAAACCCTTAAAGGGGTCTCTCTTTGCGAGAGTGACCATTCTGCGATCATCTTGTGGGGTTGTTTTTATTGGCCTCTTCCTTCTAGGCATACTTTCTGTGGTTTCATGATTTTGAAATAAGCCACTGCATCGTAGATTCATGTTTTTGGAACATTTCAGATGATCTGCAATTTACCGGTATGGCCATCCACACTGATAAAGATTGATTATAACTTAGCGCATTGTTGCTTTTCTTTCAGCCCATTACCTTTAAAAATTTGATGAGTTTTTAACTCGCAAGATAAGAATATCGCTTTTCAAATTGACGCCGAAATTACAAATAAACAGAATAAAAGTTATTACTTTTTATTTTTTTTAATTTAGAAGGAAAAACTTAAGCGTCCCTATTTAGGTGGCCAGACTGTCCGTACCATAATTACCGATTCATGTGATTTGATTAAGATTTTTTATTAAGTTAGTAAGTTTTTTTTGTTGTTTTTGTATTCTGTTAAATAGTGTACTTGATAGTCAATATGTTTACAAAGTAACAGCCAGTAATATCGAATGAAGCTCACAATAATAGGATAGAAACACTTAGTATTGCTTAGTATTCTATCTGTCCCTAATTAGTTGACCACGACTGTATGTGCCCCTTTCCTCAGTGAACGCGACGCCGCTGCTGGTGTTCAGCAACCGGCACGAGGTGCGCGCGGTGGAGCTGGCGTCGCTGACGTCGCGCGCGCTGCTGTCGGCGCTGAAGAACACGGTCGCGCTGGACTGGCTGGGCCGCCCGGCCGCGCCGCCGCGCCTCTTCTGGACCGACGTCGTCGACGACAAGATCTACTCCGGCACGCTGCACGGCACCTGTGAGTCACATGGAAATCTTGCTCTGATTGGCAAACTCATATTTCAAGTTTACGTAATAAAGTCTGGTCGCCGAGCACGTAGAATTCAATCCAATGACCCCAAGCTATGTATCCTTATCGCTCGCGAGTAATTATATTGCTGTCGCGACTGTGCGACAGGCGACAGCAGTGAGTCTACGTACTCGGCAACCGGACTATAGACATGTTAACTCCACCAATCAATTGACGTTCTTTTTAAAACTGTCAAAACAAGACTCACCCATAGATTTTGTATGGAAATACAAGTAAGTGACGTTATTATTTAGTCAACTCAAACTACTTTTTTCAATTACAACAATACAATCAAAAATCTTAATTAACAGATAATTTAAAATTAATTATTATAATATTATGTTTTTAAGACCAAAATGAAGTATCTTTTTGAAGAAGTTGTGATTTCAATTATTGGGATGGGTAATCGTGTCAAATAGTCTATTACGAGGTTTTCTTTCACAGCTCTGAGCGGAATCGAAGTGGTGGTGGAGCAAGGACTATGGACGGTGGAGGGCATCGCGGTGGACTGGGTCGCCGAGAACCTCTACTGGGTGGAGAGCGGCCTGCACCAGATCGAGGTACATAGAGCGAGCTGAGGGTGGTTGTTTAATCGTCGTCGTTTCAGCCAAATGACGTCCACTGCTGGACAAAGGCCTCCCCCAAGGTTTTCCATAATGAACGGTCCTGCGCTGCCCGCATCCAGGCTCTTCCCGCGACCTTTACCAGATCGTCGGTCCACCTAGTAGGAGGCTTGCCCACGCTAGTAAAATTAATACGCTGGTTGTTTAATAAAAAATAAATCTGTCTAAACGTCATATTATCAACAATGTGAAACTAAAATAACTTAAAAAAAAAAAACCGACTTCAAATGCGTGAACACAAATAATACCTATTCAACAAAAAAATAATCGTTCAAATTGGTTCATAATCGGCGGAGATATTGCGTATAAAAAAGTTCATCCCCAATTTTCCACCCTTGGGGGTTGTTTTTTTTATTATTAAATTTAAATGAGACCACCCTTATTACCTATACGCCGAAAAAAGATCGGTTCATAATTGGCGGAGTTATCGCGTAACAAACATAGAAAAAAAAACATACGGGTCGAATTGAGAACCTCCTCCTTTTTCTAAAACTATATTTCATTAACAAACCATTGTTGGGCATTTGATTCAGTGGTAGGCCTAGTTTGTCGATTGTTGGTCACTGAGTGTTGTGGCAGGTGGCGCGGCTGGACGGGCGCTGGCGGCGCACGCTGCTCTCTGGAGACATGGACAGCCCGCGCGCTATCGCCGTGGACCCGAGGGTCGGTAAGTATACAAGCTTAGCGTTTTGCGTTCGCAGTGTTCCTAATATTTTAAGGCTGAGTTGCACGACCTAACTTTGACCGTAACTGTAACGATAACCGGTGCTTTTTGTATGGAATTTGACAGATTCTTGACGTTTGTCAAAGTTAAAGTAAGATGGTGCAACCCAGCCCAACAATGCCACATCTCATGGAAGTGGATAATGTTACCGCGAGCTTTGTGCGCGTGCGCAGGCTACCTGTTCTGGAGCGACTGGGACGCGGCGGCGGCGCGCATCGAGCGCGCGAGCCTGGCGGGCCGCGGCCGCCGCGTGCTGGTGCGCGTGGGCCCGCTGGGCGGCGGCGCCTGGCCCAACGGCATCGCGCTCGACCACCTGGCGCACCGCCTCTACTGGATCGACGCCAGGCAAGTGTAACAGGCGGCGCGTGCTGGTCGCGTGGGCCCGCTGGGCGGCGGCGCCTGGCCCAACGGCATCGCGCTCGACCACCTGGCGCACCGCCTCTACTGGATCGACGCCAGGCAAGTGTAACAGTACTTGACACTTGGGCACATGGAAAAGATCACAGATGAAACTCAAAGAAACAAACCTGATGCGGTATATCTGCCACATCATGCGGTGATTAGGGAGGATAAGAGCACTACCAAGTTGAGGGTGGTTTTTGATGCATCGTGCAAGGGAACGAACGGCTTTTCCTTGAACGATACCTTAATGGTAGGACCCACACTGCAAGCAGATTTACGACACATTATCATGAAGTGGCGCGTTCATCCTATATGCCTGTCTGCTGATGTTATTAAAATGTTCAGACAGGTAAGAGTTTCTGAAGAACACGTCGATTTTCAACGAATTGTGTGGAGAGAAAGACCGGAAGAAGAGATTGAAGATTATCGCATTTTGGTTGTGTCGTTTGGTACCGGTTGTGCACCTTACTTAGCGGTCAAAACAATGCAAAGAATTGCTTGTGATGAAGGTCATAAATATCCATTGGCCGCTGAGAGGATAAAATCAGATGTGTACATCGATGATGTCATGACAGGGTGTCAATCGGAAGCCGAAGCAATCGAGGTCTACAAGCAGTTAAACCAACTCCTAGCAGAAGGTGGTTTCAGATTGCAGAAATGGACAAGCAATTCTGACAAACTCTTAGAAGTTTTTAAAGAAGATGCAGGAAGAGATGTAGAGATAAAGCAAGATCAAGTAACGAAAGTTTTAGGACTTACCTGGAACAGAACTACTGATGAATTTGATTACTCGGTGAAGCTGCCTCCGCGCGCCGCCACGTCCGCACCTGAAACAAAAAGAAAAATTATTTCCGAGATTTCACGTCTGTTTGACCCACTAGGTTGGATTGCACCATGCATAATTACCTCAAAGGTTTTCATTCAACGACTGTGGATCCGCGTGGGCCCGCTGGGCGGCGGCGCCTGGCCCAACGGCATCGCGCTCGACCACCTGGCGCACCGCCTCTACTGGATCGACGCCAGGCAAGTGTAACAGGCGGCGCGTGCTGGTCGCGTGGGCCCGCTGGGCGGCGGCGCCTGGCCCAACGGCATCGCGCTCGACCACCTGGCGCACCGCCTCTACTGGATCGACGCCAGGCAAGTGTAACAGGCGGCGCGTGCTGGTCGCGTGGGCCCGCTGGGCGGCGGCGCCTGGCCCAACGGCATCGCGCTCGACCACCTGGCGCACCGCCTCTACTGGATCGACGCCAGGCAAGTGTAACAGAATGGACAGGCGCGCGATTTTATGTGAACAATCTTACGCCCGTATTTACAAACATTACTATGATGAGTGCAGGTGGACGCACAGGGTGACACACGAACCGATCACAGAGCATCTTTCAACGCTGTGCGTTCGATTTGCTGCTTTACTTTTAAGCAAGCAAGCATCGTTTGTAAATATGAACGTTAGTTTTGCAGGCCAATCGAATACAGCACTTAGCCTCTTGATTGGGCCATTGTGCGCGATATGTGGTTTATCTTCCTACTCCAACTACCCCCCTAGAAAGCCTATCTAGGCCGTTACAGGCCTTGTGCTGCGACGCTGGTAATTGGAGAATTTGAGCCCGTTGTTCTGCTAAGCTTCTGCACTCTATGAGCACGTGCTGCGGTGTTTCTTCTGCCTCCATGCGTTGACACTTGAAGTTTTTCACTTACCTTAAATGATATTCTTCGACGCTAATGCGGTTCGTCGGGCTTGCAGGTCGGACGCCATCCACACGACGACGTACGACGGCACGGGCTACCAGGAGGTGCTGCGCGGGCACGCGGCGCTGTCGCACCCGTTCGCGGTCACGCTGTTCGAGTCGCACGTGTACTGGACGGACTGGCGCTCCAACAGCGTCGCGCGCGCCGACAAGTGGCGCGGCGGGCACGTGGCCGTCGTGCAGCGCACGCTCACGCAGCCCTTCGACCTCAAGGTGAGCGCGCTTCCTTTCCTCTCCTCCCCCCGCCTAGGGATGAAACGATACCATTGATTATCGATACTCTTATTCAATACAGTATCGGTCGTCAAGTATCGATACTTACTCGGTATATCAATTGAAAGTATCGATACTTACTCGTAACGAATAGTTTAAAAAAATTTGTGTTAAAACAGCATCAAGAGTAGTGGTATTCTTTATTAATAAGTACAAAATTTTAATAATTTATGAAAAAAGTCTGTATTTGTAATGTTTTCCAAAAATATTATTTTTTCAAATGTTAGCCTGTTAGGCGATTTATGGAAGCAGTTTTCTTGATGAAAATGAAATAGAATAATAATTATTGGTTTCAAAGCTAGATTCTATGTCTATGTGGCATACTGATTATGAGTATATTTGACCGATACCAGGCCTGTTCATCTCCGCAAATTTACATCGAAAACAAAACACGCACGATGGCCCACCTACAGGATACTATTCGACAAGGCATCACATACGAGCGAACATTGACTGACGCACGCGTATTCTTATGTATGATGGAAGAAAATAAAGAAAATGGTGTACTAATTAATACTGTGCAGTATTTAGCTGCCTAAATAATAATAAAAACACAGAATGTACTTTTTTAAGTTGCCTCAAGACACTGAGAGGTAAATAAGTAGTTAATATTATTCATGATAATTCATGCTAAATCATGTATTTTCTCCGCCATTTTCCGCTGTTTGGCACCTCACGTCACATCATTTTACCGAAGTCAGCCCTATAGCTTCGGCGCAGTGCCGATCACTGACGTTTGTCAACAAAATGGTGCTTGACTCTTGAGACAGGCTAAATTACACCATATTGTTAGTGACATTGAGCATACATTTTTTTAAATACCTTCGCGAAGTAAAACTTCTGTACGTAGTACCTACTTATTATTATTCTGTGCCGATACTTAAATTCAAAGCATCGATACTATAAAGTACTTGGTTTCGGAGAAAAGTATCGAGTGTGTACTTGTATTTACCCGTATCGTGTCATCCCTACCCGTCCTCCCGCCCGCTCACGCGAGTGTAACGTCACTTTCCCGCAGGTGATCCACCCGAGCCGCCAGCCGCCGGCGGCGAGCAACCCGTGCGCGGGCAACGGCAACTGCTCGCACCTGTGCCTCATCGACGCGCCGGCCGCGCGCGTCTGCGCCTGCCCGCACCTCATGCGCCTCGCGCCAGACAACGTCACCTGCGAAGGTCAGCCTTCTTATCTCTTTAGCCTCTCGCGTATTGTCTCGGAGTCACTAACGTTTTTTTTTTGTAAATACATACTTTGATTTTAGCTGATTATGTACTCATTATGTCCAAGCTAAAACAGTGTGAGTCACGTTAAAGTGTACATATGAAAATATCAAACAACCAAAAAATAAACACGAATTTAAAAGCAGACTTTTTTCAAAAAGTATATTTTTTTAATATTTGTTAGCATTTTCTGGGTATTTTATGTATTTTTTTAGTATCGCCTATTATTTAGCATTATTACTGTTTTTATTTTATCAGGATATACCTCTCACTTTAAGAGTTATTACGTTTTCTTTACGAGAAGTAATTGGAAGAAAAAAAATTCTATAAAAAATTAAGAAAAAATCTCAAAAAAAATTTGACCTCTTTTGTCGATAAAAATAGGTCTAGTTTCACCTATTTTCATATTATGTGCACTTTATCGTGACTCACACTGTATACCTAGCGGAATAGAGCAACAAAGGATGGAGCGATCGAGATGTCACTAGCAGCAACATTGTGTGATAAGAGATACGCGATGTGACGTAACAGAACCGTTTTTTGCAATTATTTGACAGTTTGTTGGCACTCATTGGCATGCAGAAAATTTTACCCTGAGATTTTTTCAGATTTTAAGTGAGTGAAATCGTGGATGTTTATGAAAAATGTGGTCAAAAAACGTGATGACTAGTTCAGGGATTGTACAATACAGATATGTTGCTCTAGTCCGAAGGAATATGAACTTTATGGCCCAAACCGAGAATTATTGCTATCAAAATGATTTATGACTATTTTTAGAAACACGTTTGTTTAACCCACACAGTTCACGAGAAGGTGATCCTGATCGCGCGGCGCGAGGAGATCCGCGGCGTGGACTGGGACGAGCCGGCGCTGGCGCTGGCGCCCGCCATCACGGCGCCGCACCTGCGCGCGCCCGCGCACCTCGCCACGCTGGCCGCCGACGGCGCCGTGTTGTGGGCCGACACCGAGGTAACTGATCCGCGGCGTGGACTGGGACGAGCCGGCGCTGGCGCTGGCGCCCGCCATCACGGCGCCGCACCTGCGCGCGCCCGCGCACCTCGCCACGCTGGCCGCCGACGGCGCCGTGTTGTGGGCCGACACCGAGGTAACGGGGGGCACAGGTGGTATCTCGGATCCGAACTGCTACCCAAAAGGGACTTTTGATAAATTACGACACACGAATTTCATGATTTTGGACTCCCATCTTCCGTCCTTGTCACAGCTGATCACGTTTGTGAGATCCCCGCTCTCTAGTATGACGTCACAATTTTTTCAATTTTTATGTCTAGAATTAAATATTGAATTGTATTAAATTTTTTAATGAAATTAACATCAAATCAAACATTTAAAAACAACAAAAAAATAACGATGTTAATTAAAGATTAAAGTAAACATCATGAATCCATAGATTTTGATACTTAGGTTGTAAAGACTAGTCTTTGGTGGGCGGAATGTTAAGTCTATTAAATAACATAAATAAATAAATAAAGTACATAATTAAATTCATAGATATAATATACAATAATAATAAACATAATGTTTGTAATAGAAAATAATTTTACAAATTGTACGTACACCACATTAGTTAAGTTCAAAAGGTTACCAATAGATGGCGCTGTGCTTCTTTAGATCGCGCAAGCGTTGTGTTTTTTCCGAACTACTTATACCTTTCTTACAAACATTAAATCGCCTCCGTTCTGAGATTGGAGTTTTATTTAAATTTCAACTCAAGGATTTTGGGATCCTGTACCGATATCGTACATAGGTTGAAATTGAAATGTGACGTCACGAAAATTCACGAAATATATCATCCCTCCCTCCCCTTTAAAGTGTTATGTAATCACGAATTAGCCCAAAGAGGAAAGCGATCAAAGCCAGATATCGCTGGGTGTTGCAGACGGGCGAGATCAAGCGCGCCAACATCCGCGGCGGCGCGGCGGCCACGCTGGTGGAGGGCGCGGGCGACGGCGGCGCGGGCGTGGCGCTGGCCGTGTGCGCGCGCCTGCTGTACTACGCCGCGCCCGGCGCGCTGCTCGCCGCCGACGCGATGGGCCGCCGCGCCGCGCGCCTGCTCACGCTGCGGGGGAACGTCACCGCGCTCGCCTGCGACCCGATCAGGTCAGTGCCCTACGAAAGATTACCATTCTCATAAAAAGAAAAAATAAACTTAAAGGCACGGGGTCTCTATCAGAAGGAACTCTAGGGGTGGAATCTCCATTGGCGTGGGTTAGCGAGCAAGGAGATAATATGTTAGATGGTTGACAATCACTTTCCCTACAATTTAACGTTCCACCAAACTCAATACGCTTTCAAAGATAACCTCGTAGCCGCTTGCTCACACTTGACATGACACAACTGATTGACAGTTACCTTTTCTGCGCATCAGTCGGGTGTTACGTTTAGGAATCACAAACCTTCCGCTCTACAGATTTATAGAGATAACATAATATTAAGATTGGTACTATTAATCATCAATAATAATTTGCAGCATCTGTGTCCGGCGCCGACAAACTCATATATTTTTGCAAATATGTAGGCTTTTAAAAAGCACTTTTACACGTCCCAGTATTAACCCTACCACTGCTTCGGGAATAAATGGGCCAGTGCTGAGAAGAAGCAGCGCAAGAAACTCAGGTCTTCTTCTAGTTAATTCTATTATGTGAAGGGCGTGAAAAGCTGTTTTGCTGAAAATACACTTTCAGAAAGCGTCCTCGCACTCGCTATGTATTATCTGAAAGTGGAGTGGGTATTTGCATGTGATAGTATAAGACGTTTGACATTGATGTGCATAGAGAAAAAGTAGCCTCGATGCTGAATAGTTTTCAGGAGCGCTCAAATGACATTCTGCGGGCTACGGTTGATCGAAAAGACTGCCAAAATCATATTAATGTTAAAAAGCTAACTTTTTGTAATTTACCCACAGTATTTTTGTTTTAAATAAAAATAACACTCGACAGGGGCCAGCTGTACTGGGCGATAGGTGCGGGTGCCAGCGAACGGATTGAAACGGCGGACGGCGCGGGCGGCAACCAGCGTGAACTACTACGCTCACCGCACGTGGCCGGCGTCTCCGGTGCGTACCACCACAGCTTGTTGTTGGCAAGTCGAGGAGAGCCCTTCTAACCCGCCTTGTGTCGCAGGCCTGGCCGTGGACGCGGACGGGAACCGCCTGTACTGGATCAACACCGGCACCGCCACCATCCAGTACCTCGACCTTGACCACATGAACGTGACCACGGTGAGCACCACAATTGTTAGTGATCGGGCATTAAGCAATGAAATTGATTCAATGAAAAAACTTATTAGAATAATATTTAACATAAAAAATACCGATAGCTGTAAACCATATTTTGCCAAACACAATATACTCACCCTACCTAGCATATACATATTAGAGACGTGTAAATTTGTCAAAAAATACCCAGAATTTTACAAAAAACGAGGAGACATCGACAGTACGTACAATTTACGACATCGACAAAAACTAACAACACCTCCATCGCGCCTTGAACTGTACTCATCGGGTCCACTTTCCATGTCAATCAAAATTTTTAATAAACTTCCAGTTTCGATAAAAAATACACCCAAAGAATCAACATTCGTAAAAACACTTAATTTCTAAACACTTTATGCTTTAAGTGAGTATCTCAATGATAAATTATTAGGCTCTAACTTCTGATACATTCTTTGCTTGATCAAGAGTGGTCCTCCTCTCTCCTAATTACAGGGCCCATAATGTTCTAATTTTAAGTACATAATGGATGCAATAAAGTATTGAGTATTGAAATTGACCGGTGACGAGTAGCGAGTGACCCCGCACTATGTTTACAGCTGGCGCTGGAGTGGGGCTCGCGGCCGGCGGCGCTGGCGCTGGCGGGCGCGCGGCTGCTGTGGGCGGACGCGGCCGGCGGCGCGCTGCGCTCGTGCCGCGCGCCCGACTGCGCCGACTCGCGCCCGTTGCTCCAGCACGCAGGTAACGCCGCCAGGACTAAACTAGTAATGACGTCTCGTGACTATGACCAAGACGCCAGTGTAGAAACTAGCGCCACAGTGGAGTCTCTAGACGCGGCCCGCAGCATTCTCTGCGTTCTGGCGCTCTGCCCGCTCGACTAAGCGCTAAATATCGAGTCATTTAATAGCTAAACGTCCCAGCTACCACGCGTTCCAGCTCATCATCATCATCATTTCAGCCATAGAACGTCCACGAACTTAGACCTCTTCAATGATTTCCATAGTGACCGGTTGGTAGTAGCCTGCATTCAGCGCCTTCTTGTTACCTTTATGAGGTCATCGGTCCAGCTTGTGGTGGCGTTCCAACTCAATAGCGAGTATTTTAGCTAAAGGTAATAAAAGCAAGCACTAATATAGTGCAAACATGGTTTATTAACTGCCGCCACGTGGCGCGGGCGTGGGAGTGGGGCTCACAGCCAGCAGTGCTGTGCTCGTCGTGCCAGTGGCGGATTTACAGTTTTGCCGCCCGTAGGCTAGGGGTTGGATCTTTATTTAACTTTTATCTTCTGAAATCGAGTTAGCGTCATCTGAAATCTGCCGCCCCTAGGCCGCGGCCTATACGGCCTATTGACAGATCCAGGACTGGTCGTGCTCTATGTGTCGTGACGCGGTGTGTGCGCAGGTGACGTGCTGGCGCTGCGCGTGTACGACCCGGCGACGGAGGCGGGCGCGGGCGCGTGCGCGCGGGCGGCGTGCGCGCACCTGTGCCTGCCCGTGGCGCGCGACGCCAGCGTTTGCCGCTGCGCGCTCGGCTACGAGCTCAAGGGCGACGATTGCGTCGGTATGTGTAGTTATTTATTCGAGTTAATAGAAGTGTGATTTCACTTCCGCGAAATACATGTTATTGCTAAATTTTAAAGCTTTTTAGGCCCGATTCGACCAAACTTTTATCCGTGAATAATTCTTGGTGTAACTGGCACATTGACAAATTCAGTATGGGAAATATGTCAAAATGACAAGTAGTTTATTCTGATACTAGCTGTGCCCGCGACTTCGTACACGTAAAAACTCGTTTTTGCAACATTTTTCATTGTCGCTCTGCACCTATTACTCGTAGTATGATGGTATATGGCCTATAGCCTTCCTCGATAAATGGGCTTTCTAAAACTGAAAGAATTTTTCAAATCGGATCAGTAGTTCCTGAGATTAGCGCATTCAAGTAAACCAATAAACAAACAAACTCTTCAGCTTTATAATATCAGTATAGATTAATATGCCGATGATATAAAAATGATGTGCTTCTGTTCACAGCGATCGACGAAGTGGTAGTGTATTCGTTGAGCTGGGAAGTGCGGGGCGTGTCGGCGGTGCCGCCGGAGGGGGCGGATGCCACAGAGGGGGCGGGGGGCTCGCTGCTGCCGCCCATCCCGCAGCTCACCATGGCCAGCTCCATTGACTACCTGGCGGGTAGGTATCACTAAAGCCCTGATCACACGTACCGAGTAAACGGGCGAGACAGTAAAATGTTTACTTGGTCGAGACAGTTGGGTGAGCGAATCACATACTCGAGCGCTCGGCCGAGCACTCGGCGTAATGTTCATACGCACCGAGTGCTCGGCCGAGAGCACTGTCTCGCCCATTTGCTCGGTACGTGTGATCAAGACTTAAGCGATTTACAATATAGGTCCCCATAGTTAATACTGTTCGTGGTGCATATCTGTTCTTAAAGGTTACTTAGCCTTTGATTTGTCTTCTTTCATCCGCTTTGCACTGAAAGGAAGTCGAAAAATAACTTCGATCTCCTCCTATGTTCTTCTAATTAATTTCGTTGCGGATCCAGTGACAGTTTAACTTTCTCCCGGGATAAATTTGACCTTCACTGGTTGGGTTTTTATTGGTGGTCAAGCTGTAGATCCTGGCTACACACGAGTTACAGCAGTGGGAAAGAGAGGTGGGAATAGTCCCGTTTTGAGCATCACTAAACTCGCCCACACTCGGCCTTGTCGGCACGCGCACCGACGATCGCTAAACGGCTAGAGTACCTTCTGTACTCGCCACTCTGCCCGGTGAAGCTGGAAAAGCTCTTAAAGCTAACTCTTAAAAAAAATCACTAAACTCGTCAGGGTGGATAAAAAAAATCACGATTTTTTTGATTAATTTGATTTTTATTAGGTTCTGCGATCATTTCTTTAGTTTTTCTTACGGAATACATTTTTATTTACGTAGAATTGATGTATGGAGCAGGCAACACCGCCAAAAAATATTAATTATGTGGTTATCTGAAAAATCGCAAATGTAATTGTATGGAAAAATTAAATTTGTCAGATTCTCCATACAAAATGACAATTTCATACATTAACACCTAATATTAACATTGTTTTCGAACATTACAGTTGATTAATATTAACTCCCAGCCTTTCATTAATTCCATTTTCGGTCATTGATTTAAATCAATGATTTTTATTAAAAAATTATGTAATAAAAATCGTGATTTAAATCATGATTTAAATCATGCAACCCTGAAACTCGTCTCATTTTACCTCACCAATAACTAACGACGATTCCTCAGAGGGCTCGTGGCTGTACTGGGCGGACTCGGAGGGCGGGCGCGTGTGGCGCGTGCGGCGCGACGGCACGGGCCGGCAGGCGCTGGCGGGCGCGGCCGACGCCGACGCGGCGGGCGTGGCGGTGGACTGGCTGGCCGGCAACGTGTACTGGGCCGACCCGCGCCGCGCCGTGCTCGAGGTGGCGCGGCTGGACGGCGCGCACCGCTACGTGCTGCGCGACCCAGAGCCCGCCGCCGTCACCGGTCAGTCACACCACGCGACACGTGCGCTGGGTTTAATTTCATGTTTGTTCTTTCAGCAGCAGCAGCATTAGCAGTATTTTAAGAGGCTGGAAATATACATTGCTTAAAAATGAAAAACTTATTCATAAACTAGCTGACCCGGCGAACTTTGTTCCGCCTTAATGACAATAAATAAGCAGAATTTTTTTTTTAATTTCGAATGGGATAAAAAGTATCCTATGTCCTTCTCCTGGCTCTAAACTACCTCCCTGACAATTTTCAGCTAAATCGGTTCAGCCGTTCTTGAGTTATAAGTGGAGTAACTAACACGACTTTCTTTTATATATATAGATAAACACTTTAGTTAAATCTTAGAAGTTGTATAAAATAAGTATTGAAATCGGACTGGAAACAAAAAAAGAGAATTTTGTATCGAAATAATTGTGTGTGTGTCACATTACACTCGCCCATGCAACAATATCATGGGACGCAGCGTATCGTTTTAATGTGGACAGTGATGTCACGAGATTACAAATACATAGTTGTGTCATAAATATTTCTAGAGATTATTTAAAATGGAAAGAACTGGATGATTTGATAATGCCAAGGCTACAAAAATGTGAGAAATTAAAAAATGTAATACTTCATGTGCACCCGGTGCCTTTTGTGATCTCTTACCACATTTCCACGCACTTACCTATATTATTCAAAATCAAAATCAAAAATATTTATTCAGTTTAGACCACAAGTGGCACTTATGAACATCAAATTTTCGTTGAGTCTTATTATAATATTTTATTATAATTGTCACACTGTACATTGACAATTGACATTAGTCGGCAGCTGCACAGCACATTATCTTGATGTCACGGCTCGGTTGCACTTGCAGCGCTGGCGGTGGACGCGGCGCGCGGCTGGCTGTTCGCGGCGGGCGGCGGCAGCGTGTGGCGCGCGCGGCTGGACGGCTCGCGCCGCCGCCTGCTGCACAACGGCACCGCCGTCGGCGACGTCGCGCTCGACCTGCAGGTCAGCCTCCCACCTCACGACGTTACACATGCCATGCTTGTCTGCTAAAATTGGCCTTAAGACCGCTCACATTAAGGCGTTAGTAGCGCGACTGCAGCGCGGCAGCGGCGTTTTTATAATGTGAAGGCATGCATCCGCTGTTACATAGCATTTGTCGCGCTATTAAATCGCCTAAATGTGAAAGCGATCTTAAACGAGCTAAACGAGAAAGCTCTAGAGAGAGACACCCGTGAATGCTGAGGACCAAGTCTAATTAAAAGTCTCCCACCTAACCTTTGACGCAGTGTTGTGAAAAAATATACTCTCGAATTATTTTACCAATCGAAATCAAACAGAGCGCTGTTGCAACCGATGAAAAGATATTATGACCGGCGTTAAAATATTTTTGTGACGTCATCATTTGTATATTCATTAAATGAGCAGAATGCCACAGACGGCTTCTGTAATTACAGCTGATTTCACTAATAAACAATTAAATTTACATAGTTCGAATTGTAACTATCATGCAGATACTGTCACTACATTGATGAAACAAATTTTAATGCTGGCCCTAACAGCGTATTACACTTGAAAATTCCGACGGGTTCATCCAGTGTGCATGTAGACCAGATGGAAAAGCAGTCGCTCGGCAAGTGAAAGGTCGTAGGTTCGATTCCCTCCCATTTTAGGCAGTTCAATTTTTTCATAATTTAATCTATGTGACGTCATCATTTGTCTGGGGGCACGGCAGTGCCCCCACCAAGTCGAGCAAAAAAGCGGCACGGCCGTACCATCCTTTTCTCGAAGCAATTCAGGCCATTTTCGACCGCCTGTAACTTCGTTGTGGATAAAACTAGAAGGCTGAATTTTCATTAGCTATGCAGGCATTGTAAAGACACGGTATATTTAAAATTTCATTCAATTTGAACCAGTAGTTTAAGAATTATAACGGGTCAAAGTTACTTAATTTTGTCACTCACTGACTCACTGACTCACCGATCATCAAAACTCTAAGGCACTTCTAGCAGACCTAGAAGCTTCAAATTTGGAATATAAGTAGTGTTTGGTGTATGAATCAAGGAAAAACTAAAATATTTGGGGGCACGGTAGTGCAACCGCCAAGTCGAGTAAAATTTTTCAATTTCGGTCCAGTTTTCTAGATTCAAAAAAACCAAGTCTCGCAACTCAGTTGTTCTACGGTAAAAAGTTGTGAGATCCATGTAATACCAAGTCCAGGCCAGGAAATCTTTAACGTTTTACATAAATATATTGACTTGGCCATCGCATGAAAACACGTGTAAATTAAATTATTTAGTGCGATGGCCAAGTCAATAATTTATGTAAAACGTTAAAGATTTCCTGGCCTGGACTTGGTATTACATGGATCTCACAACTTTTTACCGTAGAACAACTGAGTTGCGAGACTTGGTTTTTTTGACAAGTATTGTTTTTGATGGGTCAATTTGTTTGGTCGCAGAAAGCAGAGGTATACTGGACGGACACGTGGGAGGGCAGCGTGTGGTGCGCGCGCTACGACGGCTCGCGCGCGCGGCGAGCGGCACGCATAGCGGCCGCGGCGCTGGCCGTGCACGCCGGCCGCCTCTACTGGCTCGACCCGTACGTACATCACAATCTAACCTAACACCTCCTTTTACAATCTCACGCGTTATATTATAAATTGACGAAGTTCACAATTTCCCAAGAAGTATTTCCGTCATAAAAACATGCTTCATAAAGATGAATCAGAATCAGAATTTTATTTGCGTAAAAACATGTAGCACTTTACTGATACCTAACGCGGACTACTTGACAGAACTTAATTGAAGTTATGTTGCATTGTTTTGTATTATTCGCTGGAGGCTCGTGCACGTTCACAACACAATACTTAGTAATCCACCATCTTATCTTGTGCAGTGTCACGCTTAGACGTTGTGAACGTCGACCCTAAATACTGCTAAATACGACATTTGACTTGCTCGCCAAGAAGTCAAGATATGCCTCGTCCCAATCTTTTGTAATTGGCGATATTACTGCATGTGCAGGGCGCTGCGCGGAGGCAGCGTGGTGTCGGCGCCGCTGGGCAACCTGAGCGACCACACCGTGCTCGTCGACAACGCGGGCAGCAGCCTCAAGGACATCCTGGTGAGTATCGACATTATCGACACTAGCATGTGCTACAGAACATTCGTCACAACATGTCGATTTTTATCCACGGGTCGGGTGGATTTCGGTCTGTTACAGATAATGTTTATTTTTACGTGATTTTAAAAATTATTACTATAAGGCCCTTTTCACACAAAAATCAAAAAATCAAAATCAAAATCAAAAATATTTATTCAGTTTAGACCACAAGTGGCACTTATGAACGTCAATAGAAAATAATGAAAAAAGAAAAAGTAGTCCTTATACACGTCCCGGTTGCCGGCTAACCGGCGCCGGGTATCCGGTGGTGAAGTGTATGGGCATAGTACGTAGCTTTACACTTCACGACCGGGTACCCGGCGCCGGTTAGCCGGCAACCGGGACGTGTGAAAAGGGCCTAAGCATCAAAGACATACAGTACATAGATTTTAGAACTTAGTTTACATATTGTGATGGGCATATGACTTGAATTACAGGCATACGTATCACAAGGTCGTTTTATATTAATGTAATTTTGTAAGATATTTAGGCTGAGTTGCACCATCTTATTTAACCGTAACAGTACTTATAACCGGTGCTTTTGTATGGAGTTTGACAGATTTTTGACGTTTGTCAAAGTTAAAGAAAAATGGCGGCAACTCAGCCTTAATATTTCTGATATGCTATTTGTGAAAACTTATGTAAGGCATTTTTGATCTTAACCGCCTCATCTATATGCTGTTTGTTTTCCATAGAATAAATAAATAAATACAGGGTGTCCCAAAAACAATGGATAACCCTGTAACCATTGATAGGCCTCGCCATGGTCTCCCTAACATCCAATTTTGACCCCTGTAAAAATATCACCGTTTTCAAGATTTTTAAATTTTTGTGCATTTTTAGAAAATTGCCACCTGCGATTACTTTTTCTCATGCCATTTCTACAAATGAGGATACTTTTCAATCTAGTTTTTTTCCTTATCACAAGGGATAGTTGGGCTATCAAAAGAAAAGATTAAAGTTCAACAAACTAGTTTAACAGTATGAAAATTTTATGAAATTGCAGAGAAGAAGGAAAAAATAATTCATTGTTTCGCACTTTTGATCAGCCGTCGTGTAAAAAACATGTAGGAAGACCATCGTGCCCATTACCTTAAAAACTTCCTTGGTTAATTCAGATTCTAAAAAGGTATCACAAGCCTATGTATTCTGTGTTATTTTTATCTTATGGCTACTTGAATAGCAACTAGTATGAAAACTGCAAAAATCAGTTTTTCTCGTAATAGTTAAACTAGGACCGCATAGTGGCATTAAATACAAATGGATAATTTTTAGCGTAGGAATTTTAATAAAGCAACATTTTATCATCATCATCATCATCATTTCAGCCATAGGACGTCCACTGCTGAACATAGGCCTGTACCCCAATGATTTCATAATGACCGCTTAGTAGCGGCCTGCATCCAGCACCTTCCTGCTTACCTTTATGAGGTCGTCGGTCCACTTTGTAGGTGGACGTCCTATGATGCACTTTCCGGTACGTAGCCTCCACTTTAACCCTGCTGCCTCAGTTCTGCAAAGTACTGTGCCCTGCACATTGCCACTTCAGCTTGCTGATCCGTCGAGCTATGTCAGCGACTTTAGTTCGTTTACGGATCTCCTAATTTCTGATACGGTTTCGTGAAGAAACCCGAGCATAGCCCCTTCCATAGCACGCTGTCTAAAAAATCCACGTTTCCGAACCGTGTATTATCACGGGTATCTGTCTATAGGCACATTTATAAGGTTTAAAACAAAAATTAAGTAATCACAAAAACGCAGAACGGACGGCCAATGGGGCAACAGGGTTCAAGTGGAGGCTACGTACCGGAAAGCGCATCGTAGGACGTCCACCTACAAAGTGGACCGACGACCTCATAAAGGTAAGCAGGAAGGTGCTGGATGCAGGCCGCTACCAAGCGGTCATTATGAAAATCATTGGGGTACAGGCCTATGTTCAGCAGTGGACGTCCTATGGCTGAAATGATGATGATGATGATGATTAAATGTTGCTTTATTAAAATTCCTACGCTAAAAATTATCCATTTGTATTTAATGCCACTATGCAGTCCTAGTTTAACTATTACGAGAAAAACTCATTTTTGCAGTTTTCATACTAGTTGCTATTCAAGTAGCCATAAGATAAAAATAATACAGAATACATAGGCTTGTGATACCTTTTTAGAATCTCAATTAACCAAGGAAGTTTTTAAGGTAATGGGCACGATGGTCTTCCTACATTTTTTTTACACGACGGCTGATCAAAAGTGCAAGACAATGAATTAATTTTTCCTTCTTCTCTGCAATTTCTTAAAATTTTCATACTTTTAAACTAGTTTGTTGAACTTTAATCTTTTCTTTTGATAGCCCAACTATCCCTTGTGATAAGGAAACAAACTAGATTGAAAAGTATCCTCATTTGTAGAAATGGCATGAGAAAAAGTAATCGCAGGTGACAATTTTCTAAAAATGCACAAAATCTTAAAAATCTTGAAAACGGTGATATTTTTACAGGGGTCAAAATTGGACGTTAGGGAGACCATGGCGAGGCCTATTGATGGTTACAGGGTTATCCATTGTTTTTGGGACACCCTGTATGTAAGCAATTCATGACTTACATGGTGCACATGATTAGGTGTGGTCCCGCGCCGCGCAAACGTTCCCATCCAACGTGACGCACGCTGCCACGGAAGCGAGCAACACGCTCGACTTAGACGCCGACGCTGCCGCCGACGCCGACTTGGACTTGGACCCCGACGTGGCGGCGGGCGACGCGGCGTGGAGCACGTGCGGCGGCGGCGGCGGCTGCGAGGCGCTGTGCCTGTTCGGCGGCCGCGCGCGCTGCGTGTGCCCGCACGGCGAGCTCGCGCCCAACGGGAAGAACTGCACGCGTACGTACCCACAGAATTACTTACTAAGTAGGTATTTTATTTAATACTTTTGTGCTGTAAAGGCACATCGTTCGACTAATGTAGAACCCGTGGTAACACAAAAGTTACAGTATTGTCTCCAACTCCAATGTCGGTCCAGTATCTCGAAGTTTAAAGTATTTATTTGCAGAATGTGGTACATTATATCATGCTAATGCCCGTTTTCACCATCAATCCCCAATTTTTAAGTGACCTCTATGAAAACAAAATGCCTGTTATGTGTTACCATAGGGGTCACTTAAAAATTAGGGATTGACGGTGAAAACGGGCATAAGACTACTATAAAGTCGATGATTATTTAAAAGATAAAAATGTTTGGGATACGTTACTGCCTAGCTCGCATAAATATTTATAACTTTGTACATTTGAAAGCCTGTAAACCTTTGAAAAAGAGGCTGACAATAGTGACTTGAGTTTCTTGCGCTGCTTCTTCTCAGCACTGGCCCATTTATTGTCCTGAAGCAGTGGTAGGGTTAATACTGGGACGTGTAAAAGTGCTTTTTTTAAGCCTATTTACAGAAATAAATGAATTTTACTGAGTTTTTTTTTACTCCCCGCAGACTAGGTACAGACTTTTAGTCGACCAATAGTTGAACTCGATTCTAATTTCTTTGGAGGATCGGCCGATACCAAAGCAGTGTAATGTGCCCACTTTCATACATCTCCATACTCATTAATCGATCCAACTATCAGCTAGCTAAAAGTCAGTGGTCTGCATTTAGGCTTAAACTAAATTCCGTTAATTTTCCGCAGCGTACAAGTCGTTCATAATGTACTCGCGCGTGACGAAGATCGACAGCATCCACCTGACGGACGAGCGCGACCTCAACTCGCCCTACCCGCCCATACAGGACAAGTGAGCGCCTTCTCATCTCAGACTTCGAATCGTTTGCGTATTCATGAAAATTCGATACACAACCTTCTAATTCAACGATAACGTGGCGAACGTTACGATCTCCATTAGTTTCGTGCTACCATTTCTTGTACTAAATCTTTTAATGGCGATTCGACTATGCTAACGATTCGAAGTCGAAAGTTTTTAGTGTTAGCGGTATACCCCCTTACTAATAAAAAGTTACACAGTTACTTTTTATTAGTAAGTTTTAAAATGACATTTCCATACTAAACACTTTAAAACACTGTTCAACGAGTGTAACTTTTATTAGTAAGGGAGATAGTATCATGTAGTGTGTGTATCCTAATATGTGTGTTCGCAGGGAGCTGATGCGCAACGCCATCGCGCTGGCGTACTCGTACAACGCGTCGCGCGTGTTCTACTCCGACATCCAGCGCGGCGCCATCCACAGCGCGCGCTTCGACGGCTCCGACCACCGCGTGCTGCTCGAGCGTGAGTCGTGATTGTTGCACAAGCCTTCAAGCATGACACAGAGAACTAAAGGAATGGAGATTCTTTAGACTACCGTCACAAATTAAATTTGAACTTTTGTACACTTAGGCCCTTTTCACACGTCCCGGTTGTCGGCTAACCGGCGCCGGGTATCCGGTGGTGAAGTGGTACGTAGCTTTCACATGTTCCGGCGTAATTAATCCGGCATGCCCATACACTTCACCACCGGATACCCGGCGCCGGTTAGCCGGCAACCGGAACATGTGAAAAGGGCCTAAGGCTGAGTTGCACCATCTTACTTTAACGGTAATTATAACGATAACGGGTGTTATTTGTATGGAGTTTGACAAATTTTTGACGTTTGTTAATTTAGGATGGTGCAACCCAGCCTTAAATCAACCATGAAATCGTAACACCGCTCTGCTTATTTACTTGTTCCTCACTGCATCACACCGTTCCCCGCAGAGGTGGGCGCGGTGGAGGGTCTGGTGTACGACTGGACGACGGACACGCTGTACTGGACGTGCGCCAGCGCCGCCGCCCTGCGCGCCGCGCGCCTGGCGCCCGAGGGGGGAGGGGCTCCCCGCGCGCGCACCGTGCTGCGGCTGCGCCACGACGACCGCCCGCGTGGCATCGACATAGACCCCTGCGAGAAGTGAGTGACCCTTCTGTTGACAATAGTGACTGAGTTTCTTGCGTTTCGTCTTCTCAGCACTGTACCTCTAGCATGAACAACTTTCGTCTTCGAATCGTTTGCGTACTCGATAAAATTCGATACTCAACCTTCGAATTAAACGATAACGTGACAATTTTGATTCTCAAAATAAGTTTCGTACAACCATTTTTCATACTAAGTTCACTTTACGACACGTTCTCAAGGGTTCTGTTGTAGTTTTTGTACTAAATCTTTTGATGGCGATTCGAGTACGCAAACGATTTGAACTCAAAAGTTTTTCGTGCTAGCCGTACTGACCCATTTATTGTCTCGAAACATTGGTAGGGTTAATACTGGGACGTGTAAAAGTGCATTTTAAAAGCCTATTTCCAAAAATAAATGATTTTTATGAGTTAGTACCACAGAATAATAATAAGTATTACGTACAGAAGTTTTACTTCGCGAAGGTATTTAAAAAAATGTATGCTCAATGTCATTAACAATATGGTGTAATTTAGCCTGTCTCAAGAGTCAAGCATCATTTTGTTGACAAACGTCAGTGATCGGCACTGCGCCGAAGCTATATAATAGGGCTGACTTCGGTAAAATGATGTGACGTGAGGTGCCAAACTGCGGAAAATGGCGGAGGAAATACACGATTTAGCATGAATTATCATGAATAATATTAACTACTTATTTACCTCTCAGTGTCTTGAGGCAACTTAAAAAAGTACATTCTGTGTTTTTATTATTATTTAGGCAGTTAAATACTGCACAGTATTTAGTACACCATTTTCTTTGTTTTTTCCATCATACACAAGAATACGCGTGCGTGAGTCAATGTTCGCTCGTATGTGAGGCCTTGTCGAATAGTAATCCTGTAGGGGGCCATCGTGCGTGTTTTGTTTTCGATGTAAACTTGCAGAGATAAATAGGCCTGATAGTAGTACCAACCGGGCAACATGGAAAGCATTGGGGGAGGCCTATGTTCAGCAGTGGACGTCCTATGGCTGAGATGATGATGATGAGTGGTATGGTTAATACTGGGACGTGTAATAGTGCATTTTAAAACTCTTGTGACCCCTTTCACCCGCAGACGCGTGTACTGGACGAACTGGCGCGCCAACAAGCCGTGCATCGAGCGCGCGCTGACGTCGGGCGGCGCGCGCGCGGCCATCATCTCGTCGCGCGTGCTCATGCCCAACGCGCTGGCGCTGGACCGCGCCGCGCGCCGCCTGTACTGGGCCGACGCGCGTCTGGACAAGGTCGATAGTGATGGTCAACTCGAGTACCTAACTCGAGTTAACTCGAGTTGGGCGTAACTCGAGCCCACTCGAGTTGAATTCTCTCTGACTCGAGTTCGTAAACTGTATGGAACCGACAGAAACTGCCGGTTATTGTTGTAGATTTTTGTGTTTTATGTTCTGTTTTTGAAAAATGCCGGGCAAGAAAATCTTTAGTTTGGGACGTATTCGAATCGACGGAGAGTGGACGCGTTGCGTGTAAACAGTGTTCAGATTCATTCAAATATAGTGGAAATACGACCACATTATTAAACCACATTAAAAAAACCGGCCAAGTGCGAGTCGGGCTCGCGCACAAAGGGTTCCGTAGCAGCAACAGTTAAATCAACCTATCTCAAAAACTATAAGAGATACTTTGATCAAACCAAAAATCGTTGAAAGAGTTAATTAGCATGCATCACCTCTATTTTTTTTAGAATTTTATACCCCGTAGTTATAAAAATAGAGGGGGGGGGACATACTTTTTACGACTTTGAGAGCTGATATCTCAAAAACCGTTCACTTTAAGAAAAATGTTTTTTAGAAAACTTTATATCATTTTAAAAGACCTTTCCATTGATACCCCACACGGGTATGTACATCGAAAAAAAATTTTCATCCCTCAGTTACATGTATGGGGGGCCCCACCCCCAATTCTTTTTTTTACTATTTAGTGTCATAATTTTGTAGCGGTTCATACAACACATATTCCCATCAAATTTCATCACTGTAGTACTTATAGTTTCCGAGTAAATCGGCTGTGACAGACGGACAGACGGACAGACGGACAGACGGACAGACGGACATGACGAAACTATAAGGGTTCCGTTTTTGCCATTTTGGCTACGGAACCCTAAAAAGGATCCTAATGTTGCCATCGAGGAAAGTCAGAGTTCATTATCAACAATGAAAGTACCTAATATGAGTACTTCGACTGATTCATCGCAGTTACTTGTATTGACAACCACATTGGATGTTGAGCCTCCTCAAAAAAGGTTAAGGCACACTCAAACCCGTCACTGTGCCAAAAAAAATAACGCTAAATTTCTGGTATTAACACTTTAATTAATTTGAAAGTAAAAGATTTGTAGCTATTCAGATAGTGGAAAATTCAGGTCTAATTTTTTTAGCTAAGTATTAATGCGAAGCTAAGGGATTAAACTGGTAAAAATAAATAAAAATCATTCTCTTGTCCACCCAGGTAACTCGAGTTCAACCCGAGTCATGTGGATTTTAACTCGGATTAAATGGAGTTTTATTTTTTACGAGTTCTCCCATCATTAGATCGAGCGCGCGCACCTGGACGGCTCGCACCGGCAGCTCGTGACGCAGGAGCGCGCCTCGCACCCCTTCGCGCTGGCCGTGGCGGGCGACTGGCTGGTGTGGACGGACTGGGTGGCGCGCGGCGTGTTCCGCGCGCACAAGCTGCGCGGCGGCACCGAGGCGCTGCGCCGCGACGTGCCGCGCCCCATGGGCGTCGTCGCCGTCGGCCCGCAGCACGCCGCCTGTGAGACCGGGAACCTCGATGTCCCTCGTTTTTGAGCATGTTTCAAATTATTCACCTTTATCTACTTAGCCATTTGCAAATGAAAGTCTAGATGCGAATAGACCATAGGCTGTTGACGAGTTATTTTCTCATTAAGCAGATATTTAAAGAACTTTAGTGCCCGTTTTAATTTAATTTTGTTTTGAAATAATTTTACTCACCATTGTTTATCTGAAATAAATGATATTATTATTATTTGTACGCTTTGGCTCACGGGTCAAAAGTGGTCCGGTCCTTTATAAGGCTTGCGTGGGGATACAGATCCAACACGTAGAGGCCGTTTTAAGCGCAAAATAATCGATAAAAGTGAAAGTGGTGCACATGCTGGATCTAGTCTGACTATATCATGGGATGTAGCCAGAGACCATCCCCAGCTTGTGCACAGGAGCTATTGCAGTTATTGGAGAATGGACTAGGGTTATGGATGAAGGATGGATGGACTGGTTACTGGGCTATGGATGGAGACTACGGGACACCTGTCTGGTTCATAGTCTTGGACTGAAAAAATGGCAGGCGGTGACTAGCCAGCGACTGAATGGGCCCCCCCTGGCGTCATGAGTCGTATAGACCGGACTGAGGGGCAACATTGGCGTCTGCCAGCTCAGGGGTGTAGAGAGGTGTGCTGCGCTTTCTCCGAAGTTACTCGCGGCGTTATGCCCTTTAACACTTCCACCCCTGGAGCATATAGCTCTAGCGACTCCACTCTGGCCGGCCGGTTAAGCCAAGTCAGAGGTGAAAGTCCTGCAGACCCTCTCGGATTCCACTTCGGCAAGCCGAAGACGAGGGTCTTGACCGATTCTCGGGAACACTCGGATTAACAACTGGCCCCGTGGTGTCGCTACTCACCAACAGTTCGAAAAGCTGCCCTGCGGGGCTTATTATTATTATTATTTAGTAACAATTAAATAAAATAATAATAAAAGTTACCAATAAAAATTGATACCGTTAGGTTAGGTAGGAATAGTTTTGACCGCCGCTAGAGTGAGATCCAAAAAAGTCGGAATTGAATAATTTATTTATAGTAGCGGTTTTAGTTCGAAATAATTCTAGCCGATTTAAAATGAATATTTATTTTATTAATTAGGAAAACCAACAGCAATACAAATACAAATAATGAGGCCTAAAATTATGTATCTGCTTAGCCATTCATAGGTAATCGCAAATGGAAGTCAAGATGCAAATAGACTATACTAGCTGATCCGGCGAACTTTGTTCCGCCTTAATGGCAATAAATAAGCAGACTTTTTTTAATTTCGAACGGGATAAATAGTATCCTATGTCCTTCTCCTGGCTCTAAACTACCTCCCTGACAATTTTCAGCTAAATCGGTTCAGCCGTTCTTGAGTTATAAGTGGAGTAACTAACACGACTTTCTTTTATATATTTTATTATATAGATTATAAGATGCAACATGTCGTGCAGGCTCGTCGGACCCGTGCGCGGTGCTGAACGGCGGCTGCGCGGAGGAGTGCCACTCCGAGGGCGGAGTAGCGCGCTGCGCGTGCGGCGCGGGCCGCGTGCTGGCGGCGGACGGGCGCGCGTGCGGCGCGGCGGGCGGCGCGTGCGGCGCGCGCTGGGCGTGCGCGGAGGGCCCGTGCGTGCCGCAGGCGCTGGTGTGCGACGGCGTGCCGCACTGCAGCGCCGAGCCCGACGCCAGCGACGAGGACCTCTACTACTGCAGTGAGTGTGACGCAGGAGTAGGGGTAGGGTTCTCTGGCTCGCGGTCGTTCAACATAATCGGATTATCTCCTTGTTTATACCACATGAAGCAGTAAAGATATTATTATTATGATTATGATCTCATTCACCAACTAGATTAGTGAATACCTAGGTTCCTACTTTTAGGATAGTTCTAAGCTTTTTAATTAAGTCAGCGCAATTCAGAACTCGATTAAAAAATATGTCTAAATAATTATAAACTTTCGATATATAGATATTATTTCCCAATTCCCTACTACTATCCGCGCCCATGAGGAGCGTGTGTGAGCTGCGCTGACGTGTTATTTATTTATTTGATACACTAACAAAGTCACATATACGTAGTTCAAAAATTTTAACATAGCACACATTTTTTCTTCTTATACACAGCATTTCTTTTTGCAAGTTTAAGGTACTTATACACTAAATAAAAACAAATTTAAGTGCCGTGCTATAAAAAGGTTTATAGTCCGGTCGCCGAGCACGTAGAATTTCGAATTTCGGACGCCCGTCGCCCAGTCGCGACAGCAATATAATTAAACACGCGAGCGATAAGGATGGGTAGCTTGGGGTCATTGGACGAAATTCTACGTGCTCGGAGACCGGGCTAGTAATTGACGTTTTATGTTGCAGCGTCGCGCGTGTGCCCGGCGGGCTGGGAGCGCTGCGCAGCGGGCGGGCGCTGCATCGCGGCGACGGCGCGCTGCGACGGCCGCGCCGACTGCGACGACGGCAGCGACGAGGACGACTGCGACTGCCCGCCGGCGCAGTTCAAGTGAGTGCTTCAATAACTCCGGTGACAGAGAGATAGGAGTGTTCGTTCTGGACAAAGACTTCCCCCAAGGATTTCCACAAAGACCGGTCCTGGCCTATTTATGAAGCCCATAGTATTTAAGCGACCACGTCTTAGATCCATAAGTCATTACTGGCTAGACATACTGGTCAAAGACTTTTGTCTTGAGACACTGCAGTATTTTGGACGTAAGAATATAGCGAAGCATAGAAGAATAGAAGTTAGTGTACCGTGTGAATAACTCTTACGCTACCGCTTTGGGCGACCGAAGCGAGCGCAGTCCTATCACTATCAAATCTATAGTCGAGTAGGTTTTCCTCCGAGTATGCTCCAATCACAATCCCGTCCGGCAGATGCTCGTCGGGCGGCTGCGTGAACGTGTCTGCGCGCTGCGACGGCGCCGTGCAGTGCCCGGACGCGTCGGACGAGCGCGCGTGCCCGGCGGCGTCGTGCGCGGCGCTGGGGCCGGACGCGCGCGCGTGCGCCGGCGGCCGCGCCTGCTACCTGCCGGCCTGGGCCTGCGACGGCAGCGCCGACTGCCCCGACGGCTCCGACGAGATGGACTGCCCCACAGGTATCCCGTTTGTGTTAGGAAACATGTCGAGTTCATCGTTTTCTTTTCATAATTTTTCAGTAGATTTAATTTCTGATAAATATAAATAAATAAATATTATAAAAAGGAAACATTGCAATGGGCTCCAAAATTATTGGATCGATCTGAGAAATTATTTCATCGTTAGTTCGTCGTAGTAATTATTTCATCGTTCTACATGTTGGAAATCGAAAGAGGTTTTAAAACTTTTTTTATTTTAAAAATCAATATAACATTTCTTTACATTTGACAGCTAAAAGGGTTGTTTTATTTCAATAAATAATAATTATTATTTTATTATTTAAAACAAATTACATAGTATTTCCAAATATTAATAATGACCATTGACGATGTCACAAAAACCAGTTTTGGTTTTACCGTGCACCGCTGATTCGACATCAGACTCAATCATTCAGAGCATAAAGTTAAATATTTACTACTACTACTACTACTAGTTAAACATTAACCATATTTTAATTCAAATTTTATGTTGATCACAACACTGTTGTCCCTGATAGTTACCTGATAATAAACAAATAATCGCCGTATTTGTTCCCCAGTCGATCCTCCAACGGAGCCCAGCACCTTGGCGGGCGACGTGTGCGGGCCGGAGCAGTTCCGTTGCGGCGGCGAGGACGGGACGGGCGGGACGGGCGCGGGCGCCGAGTGCGTGCCGCTGGCCTGGCGCTGCGACGGCCGCATGGACTGCGCTGATGGTTCCGACGAGACGCTACACTGCAGCCGTACGCACGCTTTCTATCTCCGTAACTTAAACCTTTACCCGGTAGTGGCTGAATTGTTGCCAACATGTTTTTAACTTTATTGAGTTAACTTAAGGTTAAAAAACAATGAAAAATAGTTTTCTCTATACCAGTTAAAAGGTTGAGCCTTGTTCCCACTTTTCATTTATTTTTATTTCATTTATTTATTTATTATTCATTATTGAGCAATTACATATTTGATCCAAATAGCGTCCTAAATCCTCTTTAGGTTTGTCTAGACACTATTGTTCTCTATACAAATATTTCGAGTAGTTTAGTCGAATGGCAAGTAATTTAATTAGCTACGCATCTTTAAAAACCAAAAATGTAGTCGAGTAGGATACTAAATCATTTTGTTGAGCCAGAGACGCATGGCACTCCCTGCCAAAAACAGTTCAAAATGGATTGGCCCGACTAAATGTTTTAGTAACCTACTCGACCAATTTTTTAGTGTTTAAGCTAGTTCAGCTACTAAGTCACTCGCCAATCCACTAACACCCGTATTCACAAACGATGCTTGCTTAAGTGAAACAGGAAATCGAACGCACAGCGTTGAATAGAGCTCTGTGATTGGTTCGTGTGTGAGGTCACACATGTATACGTTCACGCGCACTGAGACTTTATGGTAATGTTTGTGAATACGGGAGTAAATTACACGACTATGCAAACAAGTATTTCCTCCGACACCGCTCCTCTCCGCAGGGCACGGCGCGAACATCACGTGCACAGCCGATCAGTTCGCGTGCGGCGCGCGCGGGCCGTGCGTGGCGGCGAGCGCGCGCTGCGACGGCGCGCACGACTGCCCCGGCGCCGCCGACGAGGCCGCGTGTCCTTGCCCGCCGCGCGCCTTCCGCTGCGCCGCCTCGCGCGTCTGCGTGCGGCAGGTCAGTACACAAACATCCAAGACTCCACAGTGACGAGCTTACTTCTGAGCTTTTTACTGTGCAAACTTAGAAAAGTTTTTGATACAGACCCATCAAAATATGGAGTTAGAAAGTAAATAAATCAAGATTGAGTATGTATTTCTCGATAAGATATCGATAATTAAAAAAAATGAGAATCCGTATTGGTTAATGTAGGGACACATTACACCTAGGTACATCGGTTGCTTAGTGTAATTGGAGGAAAACCGACGTGTGTGTGTGCCTATACCGTGCCCAGACTTAGATGTATGTGTGAGTTTTTTCAGTTTATTACATGACGATGAACCAACTGGTTGTTGTATCCTTTTCTTCAAACCTTCTACATAAAATAGTTGAAGTCAAGTGGATTATTCATAACTCAAATAACCTAAAATTAAGTAATAAATATCCCCAGTTTGAACATTATTTTATCTGGGGGCACGGCAGTGCCCCCACCAAGTCGAGCAAAAAAGCGGCACGGCCGTTACCATCCTTTTCTCGAAGCAATTCAGGCCATTTTCGACCGCCTGTAACTTCGTTGTGGATAAAACTAGAAGGCTGAATTTTCATTAGCTATGCAGGCATTGTAAAGACACGGTATATTTAAAATTTCATTCAATTTGAACCAGTAGTTTAAGAATTATAACGGGTCAAAGTTACTTAATTTTGTCACTCACTGACTGACTCACTGACTCACCGATCATCAAAACTCTAAGGCACTTCTAGCAGACCTAGAAGCTTCAAATTTGGAATATAAGTAGTGTTTGGTGTATGAATCAAGGAAAAACTAAAATATTTGGGGGCACGGTAGTGCAACCGCCAAGTCGAGTAAAATTTTTCAATTTCGGTCCAGTTTTCTAGATACATAACTGCTGTCTACAAAATACAAAAAGAAATGAGATCCCATCAAAAACAATACTTGTCAAAAAAACCAAGTCTCGCAACTCAGTTGTTCTACGGTAAAAAGTTGTGAGATCCATGTAATACCAAGTCCAGGCCAGGAAATCTTTAACGTTTTACATAAATATATTGACTTGGCCATCGCATGAAAACACGTGTAAATTAAATTATTTAGTGCGATGGCCAAGTCAATAATTTATGTAAAACGTTAAAGATTTCCTGGCCTGGACTTGGTATTACATGGATCTCACAACTTTTTACCGTAGAACAACTGAGTTGCGAGACTTGGTTTTTTTGACAAGTATTGTTTTTGATGGGTCTTTCTTTTTGATAAATTATTGTATGATTCGGTTCAAAGGTTGTCGTGAAATGCAATGAGGGCTATCGTTTTAGCGCTCACCAGTTAGCGCCACTGTAGAGTAAGGTCTTGTCACTTGCTAGTAGCGAAGACAGTAGCACCAACTGGTGAGCGCTAAAGTGGTACGAGGACTATCGCATTTGCACTCATCAAGATGGCGCCACTGTAGAGTAAGGTCCTGTCAATCGCCAGGGCTGCCAACTGTTAAATATAAAAACGATAGCCCTCATTGGTTTGAAACTCGTTTACATCGATACTTGTGCAGGAAGCGTTCTGCGACGGCGACGCGGACTGCGAGGACGGCTCCGACGAGCCACCGGGCTGCTCGCACGGCACCTCAGCAGGCGAACCAAGCGTGGAGCCGACGGAACCTTTACCAGCGCCCGCGGAGCCACCAAGGCCCGCTGTGCACCCGCTGTGCGCGGCGGCCGGGCCGGGCGCGCTGTACTGCGCCGGGCGCTGCCTGCCGCGCGAGCTGCAGTGCGACGGCCGCGACCACTGCGAGGACGGCGGCGGCGGCGGCGCCGGCACCGACGAGGACCCGCTCGTTTGCAGTCAGTACTTTTCTCTGTAGTTATTTAATTTTTAGCGTTTATTTACTTATTAGGTACAGTCAGCGTCAGATTGATTGAAGCGTCTAAGATAACCAAAATGATCTGATATTCAATATTTCAAATAAATGTAACCAGTCAAAGTAAGCATATTGTTCATGGCATCTAAAGTAGTCAATATATCTTAGCAACACTGATCTCAATTTTATATGAGCTGTCAGGATGTTCAAAAATACGTATGCAGGTATGACATAGAAACGCATGATGTGTATATGATCTCAATTACATACACAGCATTAAGAGTTGCATAAACTAATTAGAAAATTTTAAATAACTTGAAAAAATCGAACTGCCTAAGGACGCAACAATTATAGCCAGATACTTAGTCAAAGCTGATTTATGTTCACAATTGTGTCATGCGCTTTATTTATTTATTTTTTCATATTTTTTAGGGATAGTACATTAGTAGAGCTACTTCCCCTAATCAGTTTGATTCACCCATTCTGGGACACCCTGTATGTATAGCTCGCGACATCAGCGACTCGTTAAGCGTTACCGACGGCCTTCCCTTGCGCAGGCTCGTTCGCGACGGCGTTCGGCGGGCCGGACTCGCCGCTGGCGGCGGCGGCGGCGTGCGCGCGCGGGCTGTGGCGCTGCGGCTCGGGCGCGTGCGTGCCGCCGCGCGCGCTGTGCGACGGCGCCGACGACTGCGGCGACTACAGCGACGAGCGCGCCTGCAGTGAGTGCCGAGCGTCTGAGTAGTACACGAGACCTAAAGCCTTGTTTACACTAATCGAGTTATTTAGTCGAGTGGCGAATAATTTAGAAGCTAAATATGTACGAAAAATTTAGTCGAGTAGGTTACTATCGTTTAGACCCGATTCGACCAAACTTATATCCGAGAACAACTCTTAGTAATGGCAAATTGACAGTTTCAGTATGGGAAATATGTCAAAATGTCGAATAACTGACGATTAATTCTGAGATTAATATTTACTCTTGTTTGGTCGAATCCATCTTTTGTTTTATTTTGAGAGGCCAATAGCACCTTCCACCACGCGACCCTTCTCACTCGCTCACCAGCTAAATGAGTCCAAAACACTAATTACTTGTAAATTGTATTCGACCAAAGTAAAGAAAGAAAGAAAAAACATTTATTTGGTACCAAAAAATAAAACAATAAGTACAATCAACTTAAAAAAGTACGAACGGTTTTTTGGTCAGTAGCTATTAGTTTAGTTACTAAAGTCGAGTTGCTCTACTATATCACTCGACTAGTGCTCACAAGGCTTGTCGCAGCGCTGACGCGAGCTCTCCGGCAGACGTGGACGAGTGCGCGGTGCTGAACGGCGAGTGCGCGCACAACTGCACCGACCTGGCCGTGGGCCGCGCCTGCTGGTGCCGCGCGGGCTGGCGGCGCGGGCCCCGGGGCGCCTGCCGCGACGTCGACGAGTGCCAGGAGGACGACCCCTGCGACCACCGCTGCAGGTACACATACTTATCCCAACACACTTTCTCACCACTCACTGCAACTCCTATATAGCCAGAATCTTGATCTTTCATTGGAGATCAAGCTTCAAGCATCAAGATCCAATCAGTGATGGTTGGTCTCGGACGATAGTACCGCTGCCGAGTACGCACAAAACTTTGAATTTTTTTAAAACTATATTTGTGGGTTTTCGTACCTTCTAATAATTTAATTGATGCGTAAGTCGTATGAAATTAGTCCGTTTCTATTTATCATAATTAACGTGCGACTATCGCTTGTAGAAACACCATGGGCAGCTTCGTGTGCTCGTGCGAGGAGGGCTACAAACTGATGGCGGACCGCATCAGCTGCACGCCGATATCGAGTGAGTACCAGGAGCTATGCTGAGCGAGCGATTTCTGCCAACAATGCACCTCACACACTACCTTTGACTGACAGCCGTGGCGGCGACGCTGATCTTCACGAACCGGTACTACATCCGGCAAGCGGCGCTGGAGGGCGGCGCGTCGTGGCTGCTGGCGCACAACCTCAGCAACGCGGTCGCGCTGGACGCCTGGTGGCGCGCGCGCTGCCTGCTGTGGAGCGACGTCACGCGCGCCGGCTCCTGCGTGCGCCGCCACTGCCGCGCGCACTGGCGCGACGCCACGCCCGCCGGCGACTTCCAGGTGAGACACGACGACACGACCTCAGCGACGCGGTCGCGCTGGACGCCTGGTGGCGCGCGCGCTGCCTGCTGTGGAGCGACGTCACGCGCGCCGGCTCCTGCGTGCGCCGCCACTGCCGCGCGCACTGGCGCGACGCCACGCCCGCCGGCGACTTCCAGGTGAGACACGACGACACGACCTCAGCGACGCGGTCGCGCTGGACGCCTGGTGGCGCGCGCGCTGCCTGCTGTGGAGCGACGTCACGCGCGCCGGCTCCTGCGTGCGCCGCCACTGCCGCGCGCACTGGCGCGACGCCACGCCCGCCGGCGACTTCCAGGTGAGACACGACGACACGACCTCAGCGACGCGGTCGCGCTGGACGCTCAAGGTGGATCGACGACCTCATAAGGAAGAGGACTGGATGTAGGCCGCTACCACCCGCGCGATATGGAAATCATTGGGGAAGGCCTATGTTCAGCAGTGGACATCTTATGGCTAAAATGATAATGAAGCACTTCGCCCAAAGTTAGGCAGAAATCTTATGTCATCCACTGTCATTACGTTGGATGAAATGGTTCCGAGGTGATATAAGGACACTAAAAAATCCACTTTCTTCACCCAGATGCTGCACGGCGCCACGCTGCAGAACCCCGACGGGCTGGCTGTGGACTGGGTCGGCGAGAACCTCTACTGGTGTGACAAGGTACTGTTTCATATTTGCCTCACGTAAAATTTAAGTTTCGTCCCTCAATCGAAATTAGTTGTTGCTTATAATTGCCGTTTTGAAAATATGGACTGTTGAAAAAAATTAGATGCTTTTGTAGTCGTCTGAGTGACTAGGACGCATTGTAATTTTGTATCGTCTTAAAGATAAACGCATGGATCAGTTATGTAGACGTGGTGTCGACTTTAAAACCTCGCTAAATGTTGACAGGGAACCGATACGATCGAAGTGTCGCGTCTGGACGGCGCGCACCGCCGCGTGTTACTGCGCGGCGGGCTGCAGGAGCCTCGTGCACTCGCGCTACACCCGGCGCAAGGGTAAGTGTATAGTTGTGTTACGCTTGGTACACCGATCTCGTCTCATAGGAGGCGAACTTCTCGTACGGCTGGCAAGGATCTACCCAGTGCCATAGGGCCGTCTGTATTGTGACGAGACAAAGAGTCAAAGAATTTGTAAGAATTTGTAGGGAGCGAAGAATGTAGAAGAACTCAGCGTAGGAACGTCCACCAGAAGGTCAATGACCTCATAAAGGTGCTGGATGCAGGCCGCTACCAACCGGGCGATGTGAAGTCATTGGGTGGATGGTCTATGTACAGCAATGGACGTCCTGTGGCTGAAATGATGATGATGAAGAATGTGGAGCGTTAGAATGCAACCGCGACGGGTGGGCAGACGCAATGAGGGCCATCGTTTTAGCGCTCACCAGTTAGCGCCACTGTAGAGTAAGGTCCTGTCACTTGCTAGTAGCGAAGACAGTGGCACCAACTGGTGAGCGCTAAAGTGGTAGGAGGACTATCGCATTTGCACTCATCAAGATGGCGCCACTGTAGAGGAAGGTCCTGTCAATCGCCAGGGGTGCCAACTGTTAAGTATAAAAACGATAGCCCTCATTCCGCACACGTCTCCTGTGATTTGGTCTGTAAAACTGAAAGGGATGACCATGAAAAGGTGGAGGGTTCGTCGTGTTACAAACACATCATTCAGTGTCTTCGTTAACGAGTGGTTCTCCTGATTCAGCCAGTATAACCGAAAGGTTGAGATGACCAATGAAAGGTGGAGGAGAGTTCGTCGTGTAAACACATCGTTCAGTGCCCTCGTGAACGTTGTTCTCGTATGTCCTCAGCACGCTGTACTGGTCGGACTGGGGCGGCGCGGCGCACATCGGGCGCGCCGGATTAGACGGCAGCGCGCGGCGGATCCTCTTAGCCGGGCTGGGCTGGCCCAACGCGCTCACGGTGTCACCGGCTTCCAAGGAGCTGTACTTCGCGGATGCACGCGAGGACTACATCGCCGTCGCCGATCTTGATGGCAATAATGTGCGCGTGCTGCTCTCTCGTGGTTAGTACATGTTTGTTGTCTTTTGTGCACCTCTCAGCACACTGAGCGTCACCGTCCATTGCGGTGTATAGGTAGACGCTTAATCTTTCGACGCGTCGCGTACGCATCATTATGTACGCAGTGTAGGTGTACTACACCAAGCGAACGAAGACGCATACGCATCTAGTACGCTACGCCGCCGTGGACGGTGATGCTGAGATCCACTGGGTTCACTTATCAATGAGCCGTTGTTACTAAAAATTAAATTTTTTTTGGTTCTTTAAAGTCTCCATAGGGCTTAATATGAGTTTTCATCAAAAGTCATCACTAGTGAGCCCGTTTAAAAAAAATCTATGAAGATTTTAGTTCTTGAAAGCATCCGCTAGGGGCGCTGTATAATCCTTCATACATTTAATGTATTTTTTTTACGCGCTCACTAGTGACGACGTTAGATGTAAACTCACACTAAGCCCTCTGAACTCATTAGATTTATCAGTTGCGTGCTTTTGTTAAGATACTGTAAAGCCTGGTCCGTGAGCACGTAGAATCCCGTCCAATGACCCCAAGCTCGCACACTCACTGCGGGCGCGCGTCGCACAGTCGCGACAGCAATATAATTACGCGCGAGCGATAAGGATGGGTAGCTTGGGGTCATTGGGCGGGATTCTACGTGCTCACGGACCAGGCTTTAGTTGAAAGGTGAGAGTAACGTTGTAATCGTGTGCAGAGCGCATGCCGTGGCTGCGGCTGCACCACGTGTTCGCGGTGGCGGCGTGGGCGGGCCGCGTGTACTGGAGCGACTGGGAGACGCGCTCGCTCGAGAGCTGCCGCCGCCGCCGCCTGCCGCCGCGCCTCTACCAGGTCGGACAATACATCTAAGCTTTAGATTCTAAAGCTTCAACCACCAACGCGTGCAGATCGCCATCGCCGGCGCGATCATAGGCCAATGATAGAAACCTGTCATTGGCTTATGATCGCGCCAGCGATGGCGATCTACACGCGTTGGTGTGGTTGAAGCTTAATACTTTTGCATTCGCTGTGTGCGGGATGACAGACCCTAATGACCACAACTTTTGTGGAGAGGGATCTGTCAAATTAACAATTTATGGCGATTGTATGGTTTGATATCGATTTTCAGTTAATACACATCGCGCGAGCGATTTGCACATAGTGAATGGAACATCCCCCACCTGCTCTTGATCATTCTCGTTACCAGTCATAAACTGGCCGAAACGAGGGTAGTGTGCGCGAAACTGCGTCTGCTTTGGCAGGTTGCACTCGATCGCGCACACTACTTGACCCCTTACAAATTATTTAATCTTCGTCTATGTCCCCGTGTGCGACTCTACCCCTTCTGGGGCTATAACGATCACCAAAACGGGTGGCACCCTATGACGCCCAGCCGCTCGGGGTTGACCTCCTCCTGTGCCGCTCGTACGCGAAGTCTTTGAGCCGTTTGAAGTTCGCCAAACGTTATTCGTTAATAGAACAAATCCCACCGCCACCCATGGTTCTTCCTGCCTCACGTTGTATGAATCGAATCTCAGGAGAACGCGCGGGTACTTACTTGCTCGCGACTCTTTTCCCCGGGCGCTTTGCTTGACTCCTTACTTTATCTGATCCATGTCCCTTCTCATAGTCAATTTTCCCCATCTGGAGCTTGACACCATAAATACGTTGATAATAATATCATCACTTCTCGAAACTTCGCCTGATTGTGTGCTAGGAGTGCGCGAAGTCGCGCAGCGCGATCCAGTTAGCGACTACTTGTGAGGTCCTGGTTATAAACAGGCCCTTGCTTAACTCTCTGTATCGCATCGTGAACAGAACAACGTAATGTAGCCGGCTTTATGTGTGCAGACGGGCAACGTGTCGCTGGGCACGCGCATCGTGAATGAATGGAACAATGTAATGTAGCCAGCTTTATGTTTGCAGACGGGCAACGTGTCGCTGGGCGCTGCGCTGGAGCGCGGCGGCGCGCACGACTGCCGCACGCTGCTGTCCACCGTGCACAAGCCCATGGACCTGCGCGTGCTGCACCCCGCGCGCCAGCCGCCCATGCCCGGTCAGTCAACAGGGCTTACACCCGTATTCACAAGCGATGCTTGCTTAATCGTATATTATTATTTTTTATTTTACGTCTTTTGTCTTTTGTGATGTCCATGGCAATAAATGTTTCTTTCTTTCTTTAATTCTTAAGAGAAGCAGCAAATCGAAAGCACAGCGTTGATTAGAGCTCTGTGATTGGTTCGTATGTCACCCTGTGCGCCCACGCGCACTGTGAGACCACATAGTAATGTTTGTGAATACGGGCGCTAATATCCTACCACTGCATCTTCTGTATAGTTAGGATTTACAGCTTGGTCTCTAGTAAAACCCACCCAGTGAAGGTTAAGTAGTCCTGGGGGATAGCTAGTCTTGAAACCCGCAACATTTATAAAGCTGAAGAGTTTACTTGGTTGGTTGAACGCGGTAATATCAGAAATTACTGGTCTGATTTAATATCATCACGCTACGACCAATAGGAGCAAGAGTAGACCAGCTTCTTAATATTTTCTTACAAACGAGCATGCCAAGATAAATGCTGAGCGGACCTATCGACACAATGGTTAAGTTCTTATCATTGTTTTTGGTCTCATTGTTTTTTATGTACCTACTTACTGTGTCAATAAACTTTCTCTATTCTATTCTTGTCCGTCCCCAGAGTTGTCGGCGCTGTGTGCATCTCTGAACTGCTCCGGACTATGCCTGCTGACACCAGCTGAAGAGGGCGGCGCGGCGGGCGCGCGCTGCGAGTGCCCCGAGCACTTCGTGCTGCGAGCCGACGGGCGCACGTGCGCGCCCAACTGCACCGAGGCGCAGTTCGTCTGCGCCACCACGCTCAAGTGCATCCCCTTCTGGTGGCGCTGCGACACGCAGGTTCGTATGAAACGGCCGGCTCATCTCAAATCAAATCATGTAATTAAGAAGTCGGCTCTCAAACAACACTTTTATTGTTCTGTTTATAAATTCAATGAGGGCTATCGTTTTCAACCGACTTCAAAAAAGGAGGAGGTTCTCAATTCGACCCGTATGTTTTTTTTTTCTATGTTTGTTACGCGATAACTCCGCCAATTATGAACCGATTTTAACAAATCTTTTTTCTGCGTATAGGTAATACCTCAAGAGTGGTCCCATTTAAATTTAATAATAGAAAAACCAACCCCCAAGGGTGGAAAATTGGGGATGAACTTTTTTATACGCAATATCTCCGCCGATTATAAATCAATTTGGATGATTATTTTTTTGTTGAATAGGTATTATCAAAAGGGTGGTTTCATGCGAATTTGAAGAAAATATTTCACCCCCAAGGGTGGAGAATTGGGGATGAACTTTTTATACCCAATATTTTCAATTTTTAGTTTTTTTTTTGTGTTCACGCATTTGAAGTCGGTTTTATTTTTTTAAAAAGTTAATTATAGCGCTCACCAGTTAGCGCCACTGTAGAGTAAGGTCCTGTCACTTGCTAGTAGCGAAGATAGTGGCACCAACTGGTGAGCGCTAAAGTGGTAGGAGGACTATCGCAATTGCACTCATCAAGATGGCGCCACTGTAGAGTAAGGTCCTGTCAATCGCCAGGGGTGCCAACTGTTAAGTATAAAAATGATAGCCCTCATTGAAATCTAATCATTTATTCAGTACTTAGGCCCTTTCGCCCTACCATCTTTTCAGAACAATATATGGACCGAGGGCTTAGTGTCAGTACATCAAACATCGTCATTAGCGAGCGCGTTAAAAAATTAAATGAAAATTATAGTTCTTGAAAGTTTCCGCTAGGGGCGCTGTAAAATCCAGGTGCGATTGCGGTCAAATACCTTCCTTGTCTTGCATTAAAAAAATACATTTAATGTAACTTTTTTACGCAGTCGACATCGCATGCGTTCGACGTAAACTCGCACTACGCCTCCTGGTGCTGCGAAGTGACGGAAGAAACACAGTCAACAAAAGTCAGACATATTGTATGTAATTTGTACGAGCACACTCGACATTTTATATTTCGCCGACACCGCATTTTACCGTCAACGCTTAACTCAATTGTTATAATATTTTTCAGTGCAATAAACAAGCTCATCGGTGACGGACACTTTCATTTAACACTAGCTGACCCGGCGAACTTTGTTCCGCCTTAATGGCAATAAATAAGCAGACTTTTTTTTTATTTCGAACGGGATAAAAAGTATCCTATGTCCTTCTCCTGGCTCTAAACTACCTCCCTGACAATTTTCAGCTAAATCGGTTCAGCCGTTCTTGAGTTATAAGTGGAGTAACTAACACGACTTTTTTTTATATATACACCGTGTTACTTTGCATTCTTGCCATATTCACAGAGATAAAAGTAGGGAACAATACCTATAATTTAAGATAAACAAGAGACTCCCATAAAGAAAGTACACTGAGTTTTTAGTAAATTTGGTTTTGCAGTACAAATTAGAATAAACCAATTTTGTCTTGCACGTTCTACAGGTGCAAGTGGAATAAACCTAGTGGGCGTGGCCTAGTTCTTATTAATCTGTGATGTTTTTTGGCTCTGGGTACCAGCCTTTTTATCCAGTCATAATAATTATTTTAAAATACTCTTCAGTTGATTTTAGATTTTCCTTTCTACTTTACGGGCTTAGAACCGTCAAAAATACGTAATAATTATTAGGCTTTTAATTAATTTATAACATTGTTCCCTATTTTTATAAATAAATAAATTAAGTATGAAATGAAATCACCTTATTCACAATTAATTATTTAATTTTATAAGTTCCTACTTACAAAGTTTACGTACTGTGAAGCAAGTGTTCAAAGTGTCCTCCGTTCTGATGAAGGCACAGTCTAGCACGGCGAAGCGTAGGTATTTCGCTTTAGTTTTCGCAACACATAAACGTTTTGTCTCACAGTTTCGCTGAAACAATACTTTCACGTAACACGTTTACACTATTTATCTCTTCTGCGCATACCAGGTCATTTCAAGTCCATTGGTGTTAGGTCCGAAGGTCGTGGTGGCCAAGCTACTGGACCCCCTCGTCCAATCCACTGTTCACCAAACGTATTATTCGCGCACTTGACGTCCTTATTGTGGGGGAGCACCATCCTGCTGGTAGTAGAGCATTTGGTGTAACGCTAAGGGTACGTCATCGAGCATTTCGTCTAAGACGTCTTGCAGACACTCCAAGCACCATTTTCAACCGACTTCAAAAAAGGAGGAGGTTCTCAATTCGACCCGTATGTTTTTTTTTTTTTTTTTCTATGTTTGTTACGCGATAACTCCGCCAATTATGAACCGATTTGGACAAATCTTTTTTCGGCGTATAGGTAATACCTCAAGGGTGGTCCCATTTAAATTTANCAACGCGGTGTCACTTCGACCAATAGTGTCGTCGCATTAACATGATATTTCTCTCTCGCTCTGTGCCGTCTCGCTCATAACACATTACGGTCTGTGTTGTTGATGGGTGCGACCAGCGAGTGAGTGAGATGGCGATATGTGAGGAGCGTTTCTCTCGCTCACTCAACTCTATAGTTTGGTTTCAGTTTTATAATAATAAAAAAAAAAATGTGTATGTATGTAGGTACGACATAAAAAATNAAAAAGGTAATCATGATTAAATTATTCGTTGTTTGCATACACTTCAGTCATTTATGTATTATTTAAAACGTGATTTGTGATTGATGGATTTCTCAGTTTTTTACAAAAGTGTCAAAAAGACATTTTAAAGACAATAGATTGCAATAGATTTTCAACCGACTTCAAAAAAGGAGGAGGTTCTCAATTCGACCCGTATGTTTTTTTTTTTTTTCTATGTTTGTTACGCGATAACTCCGCCAATTATGAACCGATTTGAACAAATCTTTTTTCTGCGTATAGGTAATACCTCAAGGGTGGTCCCATTTAAATTTAATAATAGAAAAAACAACCCCCAAGGGTGGAAAATTGGGGATGAACTTTTTTATACGCAATATCTCCGCCGATTATAAATCAATTTGAACGATTATTTTTTTGTTGAATAGGTATTATCAAAAGGGTGGTTTCATGCGAATTTGAAGAAAATATTTCACCCCCAAGGGTGGAAAATTGGGGATGAACTTTTTTATACGCAATATTTTTAATTTTTAGTTATTTTTTTGTGTTCACGCATTTGAAGTCGGTTTTATTTTTTTAAAAAGTTAATTATTAAAAATACAATAAAAAGTAAAAAAGTCTCCATCGCCATCGCTAACAAGTGATGTGCATGCGTTACGATAATTAGTGATGTGTTTAACAGATTGTCGATAAAATAAAATACTCAAAATTAAAAATCAAAATTTTCGGGCATTATTTTTTAACGGATTTGTGTTCAGTATCAGTAATATAGTTAACTCTGTAAATATGGCAAGAATGCAAAGTAACACCCTGTATAGATTCCGCTCCCGAAAACTTATCCTACTTGTACTCAACTACTGCATCTAAACTTAACTACATCAACATACTATCACCAAGTGTAAGGGAACTAACCCCTAATTAAAGAAAAAATATTATCCGTGTTGCAGGACGACTGCGGCGACGGGTCGGACGAGCCGGCGTCGTGTCCCACGTTCCGCTGCGCGCCCGGCCAGTTCCAGTGCGGCTCTGCGCACGCCAGCCTCGACGCGCCCGGTGCTGCCACCACCCCCGTCGGGCCCGCACCCGCCTGCCTGCATCCTGCGCACATCTGCGACGGGGTCACGCACTGCGCTGACGGCAGCGATGAGAGGGACTGCGACGCGGTGAGACTTATGCAACATGCAATAAAAATTTTGAATTTGAATTTGACTTGTCAATGTGTGATAGATAATATATTCTGTTTATTTAAAGGCTTATGACATATCTGCTCTACACTGTAACATCTAGTAACACTGGTGATAAAATGGTTTTGACGCAGAACGTAATCTCATAAGTCGTAAAATGTCAATATAGTCACTATCTCAAAAAGCCACTTTTGCAAAATTCATTTTCGCAAAATGATACTTTCGCACAATATCACTTGCGCTATAATGTCATTCATATTATTTTTGCTGTATATTTTTTACATTTTAAAACAGGCATTTTTTGCGAAAGTGACCATAATTATGCTTATTTGCGAAACGATGACGTAATGTGTCAAACTTGCTTTTACCTTTCAATTTTAAAGTTAAGAAATAGATTGGAAGCGGTTAGCTGTGGACTGAAACATTTTTATTAACAACACTGGCGTAAACATTAACAGAAACTTTGCAGAACATAAATTCAGATGTAACATATAGCCACGGTTGCATGTACAAGTCAAAAAAAGCCCACAGGTAGTAACTTGAATCTCATTTATTCCGAACCAAATTTGAGTATATGTAGGGGCCGTCTAAAACCTACATACCGCGATTCAACCTACAGACAGCGCCATCCATCGGCAACTCAATACACTACATATATGAAGCTTAACATTGAACATTGCAGTTCACGTGCCTGGGCACGCAGCTGAAGTGCGCGGGCAACGCGTCGCTGGGCGTGCGCGCGCGCTGCGTGGCGGGCGCGCGCTGCGACGGCCGCGCCGACTGCCCCGACGCCTCCGACGAAGCCGAATGCCCGCCGCACACCTGCCCGCCGCATCACGTGAGTGTTTTGCAATGGCCTTTTTCACTAAGGATATTTATTGCCTGCGAGCGACGTAGACCGGAGGGAGTGGCGAACTTTCTGCGAACGGGCAATGTTCGGTTCGCGAGCGAACATAGATGACAAGCGCTTTTGGGACGCTCACTATCGAAGCAACAATATGTGCTTTGAATGACTGAGAGTAGTGCGTGTGCTACTCGCCTATCATAATTAACTTTTAAAAAAAAATATAACCGACTTCAAATGCGTGAACACAAAATAAAACTAAAAATTAAAAATATTGCGTATAAAAAAGTTCATCCCCAATTTTCCACCCTTAGGGGTGAAATATTTTCTTCAAATTCGCATGAAACCACCCTTTTGATAATGCCTATTCAACAAAAAAATAATCGTTCAAATTGATTTATAATCGGCGGAGATATTGCGTATAAAAGTTTTCCAGTTTCCCAGTTTTCCACCCTTGGGGGTTGTTTTTTCTATTATTAAATTTAAATGGGACCACCCTTGAGGTATTACCTATACGCCGAAAAAAGATTTGTTCAAATCGGTTCATAATTGGCGGAGTTATCGCGTAACAAACATAGAAAAAAAAAAAAAACATACGGGTCGAATTGAGAACCTCCTCCTTTTTTGAAGTCGGTTGAAAATTGAATAAAATGGATTGGTTCGACTAAACGATGTAACCTACCCGACAATTTTTTTTGTGTTCGGATATGGTTAGCTACTAATTTACTTGCCATTCGACTTATTTAATTTAATTGACTAGTGCGAACAAGGGTCTAGGTACAGTTCACAAGTGATTCATGAGTATTTTTTTTATATGAACTCAATTAAATTGACAAGGGAACGTGGTGAGGGATGTTTACTCGCCTGTCAAAGTCTAGAACAATTTGGATCAGCTCAACCGTCTAAATAATTTAGTAACTTACTCGACAAAATGTTGGCGTTAGTCACCTACTAAATTACTCGCCGTTTGACAAAAACAAAGCTTAACTCGTCCCTTGCTCGCAGTTCTCGTGCTTGGGCGGCGGCTGCGTGCCGCTGGTGTGGGTGTGCGACGCGGACGCGGACTGCGCGGACGGCAGCGACGAGGGCGCGCTGTGCGCCGCGCGCCGCTGTGCGCCCGGACACTTCCGCTGCGCATCCGGACGCTGCATCCCCGCCGAGTGGCTGTGCGACGCCGAGGCCGACTGCCCGCAGCGCGAGGACGAGGTACGAGGAACAGAAGCACTAGGATACATGGCACGATAAACTTTTATCGATTATGGACGATAAGCTTATACATTTGTATTTTGTCATCTAAAATGGACGATAAGATTTTATTATGGTGCATCCTAGTTCGGCAGAACACCTAAGCTCCAGTTCTTGAACGTATACATATACAGGGTCGAATCAGTTTATGCAACGTCATTAATTCGCATGAAAAGTGTTAAATTAAAAAGTTACGTTACTTTAAGGTAATGAGCACTTGAGTATGGCCGTCATAATGTTATGTTTGGCTTGCTAAAAACTGTCTGGAACTTTAAAAGTGTGTTTTGTTGGTTATGAGGAAATTACTGGTGAGTTATACAGTGTGTCCGGGCTTGTAGTGATCAAACTTTAAGGGCGTAATCTATGGACAACTTTATCGATGAAAATACTTCAAATTTGGGGCTTGACCCATTTCTCGCAAAATTACGAGGATTTAAGTTTTTAATTTTTAGTTTTCATCTCTTCCTTCAAAAAAAAGTGAAAGCGCGGGTAGCTTAACACTAATAAGCAAACATTTTATATCATGCGATAGCCAATAAAATTATCTATTAGCAGAAGTAGAAAACAGATACAAGTTTCATACATTTTAAGGGAGTGAGAATGGATTTAATTAGAAAAAAACATGACTTTTGTCACTTCTTTTTCAGTTATTTTCCAACACAAGAAAAACCAGGTCGTTAAGGTATGTTTTATTTGCATTGTATTATTAGTATTTGAGCTGTTCTACAAAACGAATGTAAATTTATTAGTCTATGTCTATTAGTTTCTACGTAATTGTTGAACAAAGATACCCCTTCCCAGCGGTTTCCATAGCGCACGCGACATGCGAAAATGCACTGCCTGAAAGAATCACACAACCTATTCCGATTACTATGGAAACCGCTGGGAAGGGGTATCTTTGTTCAACAATTACGTCGAAACTAATAGACGTAGACTAATAAATTTACATTCGTTTTGTAGAATGGCTCAAATACTAATAATACAATGCAAATAAAACATAACTTAACGACCTGGTTTTTCTTGTGTTGGAAAATAACTGAAAAAGAAGTGAAAAATGTCATGTTTTTTTCTAATTAAATCCATTCTTACTCCCTTAAAATGTATGAAACTTGTATCTGTTTTCTACTTCTGCTAATAGATAATTTTATTGGCTATCGCATGATATAAAATTTTTGCTTATTAGTGTTAAGCTACCCACGCTTTCATTTGTTTTTGAAGGAAGAGGTGAAAACTAAAAATTAAAAACTTAAATCCTCGTAATTTTGCGAGAAATGGGTCAAGCCCCAAATTTGAAGTATTTTCATCGATAAAATTGTCCATAGATTACGCCCTTAAAGTTTGATCACTACAAGCCCGGACACACTGTATAGATTAACAGCCGATTTCACCATCAATCCATAATTTGCAATTAACCACTGAACGTTTAGAAAAGGGGCAGATCGTTTAACTAAAGTGGTACTAGGGAACGCATAAGGGATTTATGTTGAAAATTGACATAAGTGACCCTTATATGCGAGTGGTCCTTGTAACGAGTTTGTGTGCGCGGGATTGATGATGAAAACTGGCATATAAGTGACATTTATGTGGCCCTTGTAACGAGTTTATGTTGGCAGGCGTCGTGCTCGGGCCGCGCGGGCCCGACGTGCGAGCCGACGTACTTCCGCTGCCCCTCGGGCCGCTGCGTGCCGGGCCGATGGCGCTGCGATGGCGAGGACGACTGCGGCGACGCGGCCGACGAGATGCACTGCGAGCCGCGCAACTGCTCCGAGTCCGAGTTCAGGTGGGGATAACTTGCTTTGCTTTTGAATCCACAGGTTGTTTCAATTTCTGATCGATTTCGTTGCGGGTCCAATGACGGTTTAACTTTCTCCTGAGACAAACTTGACTTTCACTTGCTGGGTTTTTATTGGCGATCAAGCTGAAAAAGAGAGGTGGGAATAGTCCCGTAGCGTAGGTTGTTTCAGTCGAAGACTGGTCAATATTAAATATTGAATACAGAGCATAAGCTAGCTATTTCACTCCTGTAGGCCTAGGATACGCGTTTATCGCGCCATTTTATTGATTTTCCCATACATTTTGACGTCTAAAATCATCGATAAGATTTTATCACGGCGCGCATCCTAGGCCGGCAGGACTGTTAAAAATGTTTGCAAGCGAGACAAAACACTCGTTAGTCCAACTTTGCAAGGCGTCAGCGCAGACAGCGTATGTAGATACAAATCTTTGCTTGTGTTTATGATCTCAGCATTCGTGAGTGACCTACACTTGTACGTCATATTTATTGCAACGAAAAAAGTGTTAGACAAACATAAATTGAAATTCATTTTTAAAAGGAGAATTCCTTTTGCCCTATGTTGAACATCAACAACCTTTGACTTCATTTCATTCCTTTCCCCCGGGTCTCGCAGATGCGGCAGCGGCGAGTGCGTCCGCGGCGCGCTGCGCTGCGACGGCGCGGCGGAGTGCGCGGACGGCTCGGACGAGGCGGGCTGCGCGCCGGCCTGCCCTCGCGCCGCCGCCTGCGCCTCCGGGGACGCCTGCGTGCCCAAGTAAACTTCATTTCACTAACGTGACATCTAAACTTGACCTTCATTGGTTGGGTTTTTGTGGCGGTCAAGCTGTAGATCCTGGCTACACAGGAGTTGCAGTGGTGGGAATAGTCCCGATAACGCTCAAAAAATCAAAATCATAATCAAAAATATTTATTCAGTTTAGACTACAAGTGGCACTTATGAACGTCAAAATATAAATAATAAAAAAAAAGAATAGGTAGTCCTTATTGGGCACTTTACATGTCTTCTTATCTTTTGGGCCCTACCAGCGCTTCGAGACAAATATATGGCAAGTGCCATCTTCATTTTGATACATTATATCTTAGTGACAAACTTTTGTGTTCAAATTGATAATACCAGTCAACAGCACATCGCACTATACATACATACATTTTTAAGTAAGTGTCGCTCTATAAGTACTATGCATTTGGCGATGCTTTGCCTTTAATGAAACAGACTAATCAACTTTGGCGATGATTATGACTTTCAGTCAAGAGTTTCCTACTGAAGCAATTTTTTTCGGGTTTAGTGAAAGCTAGCATTAGAATATAAGACCTCTCCTAAAGTTTTGCTTACGGTGTGACGTCGCTGCCACTTCACAGCTCGTGGTGGTGCGACGGGTCGCTGGACTGCGCGGACGGGTCGGACGAGGCGGCCTGCGGGCGCGCGGCGTGCGGCGGCTGGCGGCTGGCGTGCGCGCGCTGCGGCCCGCCCGCCTGGCGCTGCGACGCGCGCGCCGACTGCGGCGACCCCGCTGAGGAGCGCTGCGCGGACTGCCCTGACAACCAGCACCGGTCAGTATATTTGCAGCTACGGAAAATATCGCATTTCTTCCAGTACATTAAGAAAAATCGGCTTTGTTCTCATAAACTAAAATAAACAACAAAAAACTTTTATCAAATAGTTTATTCAGTACTTATGCCCTTTCCAAGGCGCTTATACACGTCCCAAATATAGCTAGTCCTATCACCACTTCGGGACAACATATGAGCTGGTGCTGAGAAATGGTAGGAGAAACTCAGTATTTTTTTGTTTATTATTTCAAGTCTAGCACATAACCCTATCAGTGCCTGAGGTATGTGAACGGTACGGGAGGAGTGACATTGTGACGTGACAGAACATATAAGTCTAAAGCACATCTGAAGTCTCGCTGACGTTTGACGTCACAAAACTCTTTCGTGCCGCTCCCATACCTTAAGCACTACTCAGTTTTGTGCCTAGTTGTGTGTGACTCCAGTTTCTTAAAATGCAAGGTTACTTTACGTGTATAGTGTGTATGTATTTAGAGCTCCATATATCCCCCTATTGTCCCGTGTAACACTATGCTTGTTTTGCAGATGTGACGACGGGACGTGCGTGCCCGAGAGCCTGGTGTGCGACGGGTACGCGGACTGCGGCCGCGGCAGCGACGAGAGTCCCGACCTCTGTGAGACCGCCAGCTATATCTGCTTATACTATATTCTTTTGATTAATCCTTCAATCCAAAGTCCTTCAAGGGCCCAATGACAAATCAAATTAAATAGTTCTTCAGTATAATAAAGCCTTTTCCAGGTCACTTATTCAGTTTAATATTCCCCAGACAAACTTGACCTTATCTTGTTTGAATTTTATTGGTGGTCAAGCTGTAGATCCTGGTTGCAAAAGAGTTGCAGTGTCTAACAGTGAACGTTTTAGGCCGCACGTGGCGCGGCGGCGAGCGCGACGGCGCGTGCGGCGCGCTGCAGGTGGCGTGCCCCGACGGCCGCTGCGTGCCCGCGCACGAGTCCTGCGACGGAGGTACCCACCTGTTTTGTATTCACTTGCTAAAGCCTGGTCTGCGAGCACGTACAATTTTATCCAATGACCCCAAGCTACCCATCCTTATCGCTCGCGCGTAATTATATTGCTGTCGCGACTGTGCGACGGGCGCCCGCTGTGAGTGTGCGAGCGTGTCAGCAACATAATAGGATGTGTAGCTTGGAATCATTGGACAAAATTCTACGTGCTCGCGGACCAGACTATAGTAACATTCGGTTCTTATGAAACCATCAACATACATGCATTTATATTGTATTATGTTTCTTGTAGTCAAACGGCTCATTCTATCTTTCTCCCGCATCCTAGCCCAGCTTGTGTGTATGTGCAATTTTTTATCGATAAACATGTATGTATACGTGATGAATGCTCGGTGTTCGCAGAGGAAGGCGCATGCTCGTGGCGCACGTGCTCGCAGCTGTGCCTGCCCAAGCGCAGCAACCACACCACCTGCAAGTGAGTGCTCTCATTCATTCATTAACTATCTTAATGAATCTCTAAAATTCCAAATGTGTGTGTAAATTCGTTTCTGACATGTTAACAGATGTGTGCCGGGCTACAAACAACGACAACTACCTGATGGAACACTGACTTGCGAATATCTCGGTGAGGAAACTGTTGTTACTTTAGCCCCGATTAAGGCTCAGTGGCCACCAAGGCGGAACACGGAGACGTGCCCCGAATAATCAATCAGATTTCATTGTACAATAATGAATGAAATCTGGTCACTCAAACAAAACATAACCACTCCGCCCTGATGGAAATCGGGTCTAAAGCATTCCCCTGTGGAGCCTCCGTGTTAACTGTTTGCTGTGTGCAGGCCAGCCGCCGCGCCTGCTGGTGGCGGCGGGCGCGTCGCTGTCGGTGCGCGCGCTGCACCGCGAGCGGCCCGCGCCCGGCGCCGCGCCCGCGCCGCTGTCGCCGCTTGCGACCACTGCTGCGCCCGCGCACAAGTCCGCTAACGACAGGTAAGCTTATACAATTGTTCAATATGATGCCTTCAAGGCGAAACGCAGCCGTTTGATCCATTTATAATTAAGGCCGGGTAGCAGAGAAAATGGCGAAAATGAGGTTTTCATTTTCCATTTTTGAGGTACTAAACAGTAAAATTAAAGGCTAAGATTTTTATTGGGCATAGTTGAGGATATTTTTTAGGGCTATTAACGGATGGAAACACGATTTGATGAAGTTGAATCGATAGAATATATTCCCAAAGTTACCTCTATTCGTTTTCTAAAAATGGTTTTATTTTTAAAATAAGCGATTTGAGATTCTAAATCTTTTACTAAACTAAAGTTCAGAAATAACTTGAGGGCTTTTAACGGATGAAATTTTTATATTGCGTCTTATTTAGTTACTATGTTAAAAAATGTGGAAAAAATCGTCCATGACGGCTTGGACAATCTCAATCAGTCGCGCGGTGGCGCTTACGGAGGACGGACGCGTGTCAGTTTTTTGGAATGTTTCAAAAATACTGTCTAAGGTCTGTAGCTAAAGGTCTAAGCTGCAAGATGGAAGAATCTTCTACCCAAAAAGATGGCAGATGCAGCAGATGTCAACGGATTTAAAACTGGAGTTCATATGACTCCTTGTAGACTTGAGTGTCTAGAGCGTCCCTTCCTCCACCATGCGTAAGAATTTTCACAAAAATACTGTCTAAGATCTGTAGCTAAAGGCAGGCCTGGCTCACTCCGCGCGGTACATCCGATAATTACCTACAGCGAAGCGCCCCGCCGGCGGGTATTATATCAGTCGAGTGTCACGCGCGCGCCCGTCAGGACGCTGGCGTGCGTTGTAGTACCTAATTCTATGATCGAAGTATTATTACAAAATGGACATAAAGAGAAAGAAATATTAT